TTCCCCCATTTTTTTTTTTTCAATTTTTTTTATTTATATTTTTTTTTTTTTGGGCGCATGGGTTTCCGGAATTTTTTTTTTTTTTTTTTTTTTTGTTATAAAATAAAAAGAGAACATTCGAAATAGACATGCGTATTTTTATCATATTTAATCAATTTGAAAAATATAATAAGCGACTATTTCGATCTTCATCTGATCTGTATATACACACAAATGGAAATCAAATGTTTTAACATTTGAACTTTTTTTTTTTTTAGTTCATGTCACACTGATGCATACACACACAGTAATGAGCGCGAAATAGTGTGGTTAATTATTTTGGCGCCAAATTTTTTCTTGTGTGTTTGATATTTTGTTTGTTTGTGATTTGTCCATCAAACAGCAACCTGAAGTTACCTTTTTTTTTCAGTTTCATCATTTAACATTGTCGTGATTTCATATATATCAATAATTTCGATTTTTATCTGAAATTTTCTTATTCAATCTCATTTCATTTATTTAACAAACAAAAAAAAATGTTCGAAGCTAAATTGGATCGTGGTATTGTTTTGAAAAAAATTCTCGATGCTATTAATCAATTGGTTAATGAAGCAAGTTGGGAATGTACATCATCAGGAATGTCATTACAGGCTATGGATACATCTCATGTATCATTAGTTGCTGTTAATTTGAATGGTGATGGTTTTTCCAAATTTCGTTGTGATCGTAATATGGTTCTTGGAATGAATCTTGTCAAGTATATTTTCTTTTAAATTTATTGTTGTTTTTGATTTTAATTATATCATTCATTTTTATTTATCTAGCCTTTCAAAAATACTTAAATGTGCCGGTAATGATGATAAAGTTACTATAAAAGCTGCTGACGGTGATGACAAAATTAAATTGATTTTCGAAGCACCAAGTAAGTGTCAATTTAAATTCTATTTGATTTTTATTGATTGACATTTATTTATTTTTTTCGCAGACGAATATGAAGTATCTCAATATGAGATTAAATTGATGAATTTGGATGCTGAATATCTTGGTATTCCAGAAACCTCTTACAATGTAACAGTAAAAATGCCTGCTGCAAAATTTCAACGTATCTGTCGTGATCTAAATCAGATTGGTGATGCTGTAACTATTTCCTGTACAAAAAGTGGTGTTGATTTTTCAGCCACTGGCGATCTTGGCAATGGTAGTGTTTCATTAAGCCAGAATAGTTCATTCGATAAACCGGAAGATAATGTAACCATATCGATGCAAGAACCATTATCACAAACATTTGCATTGAAATACCTTAATCAATTTACCAAAGCAACACCACTTTGTTCACAGGTTACACTTTCATTATCACCCGATGTACCATTGGTTGTTGAATATAAAATCATTGAAGAAAATGAAGAAGATTCAAAAAATGAAATTGGTCATATTCGTTATTATTTGGCACCAAAAATCGATGATAATGAATAATTTATTCATTCATTTTTTTGTATTTTCATATTTGATCCACATAAATAGATTGATAATATGAGAAAACAAACAATAATTTCCACAAATTTTAAAAGAAAATTGTCATTCTTTTTTTTCATCTTATTATTAATCATCATTATTATTATTATTATTATTAATCATAAATACTAATTTACTAATGAGGACTAGAACAACAACAACAACAACAATGAATATTTTTTTTTCAAGAAAAACAATTAATGAGTAACATGAATAAATGGATGAATGTTGTGGATAACAAAAAGAAAATATTATTAAAGCCAACAAGGAGAGAGAAAAAAAATTTGAAATATTTTTTGTTTTTTTTATACATTAGATTTTTTGTTTAAATTGTTATATTCAAATGTTCTTGTAGCATTTGATAGATATTCATTTGGTCTTCAGGTTTTAATTGATAAATAAGATGTAATATTTTTGTTGGATTAGGTGCCCGTACAAAGCTATAGATATAAACATTAACAAATGATGCCATTAGATATTGACAATCAAAACGATCAACTAGACCGCCATGACCGGGTATAACATCACCAAAATCTTTAATTTTGAATGCTCGTTTAAAACCGCTAGCAAAAAATCCACCAAACGGTCCAATAATCGAACTAAACAATGATAATGCCAATGAATGTAATACGAATGGATATAACGAAATGGTTTGTGGTAAACCAAACTATATTAAACAAAGAAAGAAAAAATCAGTTAAAGAATTCTGCCATCAACATCATTATATAAACAAAATATTACAATTTTGAAAATTAATTGCAATGTTTCCGGTAAACAATATTCAGTCAATTGAAATAATTTTGATGGTGTACATTTGAATATACGTTCGATTGGATCATATGATTCGATTGGACAGACAAAAAATTGATAACTACACAATAAATACGATATCTGTATGTAAAAGAGTGAGATTAAGAATTACAAAAAAAAACGATAATCATTCAATAAAACATACAATCATTCCCAAGAAAACAGTCGATATAACACCACCAATAAAACCTTCCCAGGTTTTTTTCGGTGATAATTTAATCAATGGTGTTTTACCAAAAAAGAATCCAAACAAATATGCCATTGAATCATTGATTACAATCATTGATACTGGAACAATAAACCAGATTAAACCTTCGAACATATTCTGTATGATTAAATATGATTGTGTAACAACAATCAACAATGTAACATGTGTCCAAGCAAACTGTATTTATAAAATACCAGAAAAAAATGAAATATTTCTTTATGATTGCGACCAAGAATTCAGTATTCACTTACCAATGAGAATTGTCGTAGATAATATCGTTTAACTAAACTAAGTACAAACCATACAAATCCTATAACATATAATGTAAATGAAATGAAACGATGATATGATATCAAAGGTTGCATAATATTCTATAATGGTAAAATAATTATCAATTAAAAAAAAAATTTAACAGAATTTTTATAAATATATAATACACTTACTGGTTGTTTTAAAACCAAAGCAAAATATTCAACTAAACTTTCAGCATAGAAAAAATAATTTGATGTTATTAACATATACCATGATAATGAACGAAACCATGGTAAACCATGTACACGATATACTGAATAACCGATTGCAATAATTTCTTGAAAACATTTTACTTGAATACAAAGTGTCTAATGATGATCATTGGTAAAGAAAAAGAAAGGATATTATTACAAAATGAATGAAAATAAAAATATTCATTTGAAAAAAAAAATCATACCAATATCATTAATGCTAATGGTCCCCAATATATAACCAAACCAAAACCAAATACCATCAATAATGTAAATATTGATCGTACAATATAATTTCTCCATCTATTTGGTAATACAGCCAACATATTATCCAAAAATTGTACAGTTTTATCCGATGATTGTGGTAATTCTTTAACTAAATCTTCAATATTTGATTCATCAATTAATTTATCTTCACCATCTGAATCAACATTATCGATACTTGGTTTTCGTATAACATTTGAATGTGATTTTTGTTGTTGTTGTGATGATTGTGATTGTGATTGTGTTGGTGCTGGTGGTGGTGGTGGTCGATCACCACTTTGACGATTAATTAATGTTGTCATAACGATAATTCCTTTTGAATGGACAAAAAAAAGAGTTAATAAAATTTTAGCCAAAAAAAAGGTTTTCAGAAACTGTTAAATTGTTTAAATCGAATGTCACTTTGATCCAAGATTTTTGTTTAGAATGTTGGTTGAGTTCTTTTTTCGAGAAAACATCCAAAACAAACTAAACCATAAATCTATCTATATGATTCTTGTCAAAATATTAGTGAGGGGAAACAAAATCTATAGATGTGCTCAGTAGAATATGAATTATCCAGAAGCTATATAGCCAAAAAAAAATATTTATTTGGATAGGAATTATCAACAAGAAGGAAGACATCACTCAAAAAAAACAAATTCTCTATACATAAAAATCACAGGATTCTATATTGGATTCTATATTTTTCTCTGTTTGTTGTTGTTGTTGCTCATGAAACGAATAATGAAAAAATCATCAATTTACCTGATCATCGATCAATCAATCAGATTATAAATCATTTCTTTTTCAATTATCATCATCATTAATGTAGGGAGAAACAAAAAGAACAAAATATCAATATCACTGAACTTTAGTTTGACGAAAGAAACCAATAACAAACAAAACTAGATAGAATCAATAAACAGAATTTAATGATGATTAAGAATCAAAGAATAATTGCATCGTCGTCGTCGTAGTCTTCGTTGTTGTTGTTATCTTTATTGTCGTTGTCGTCGTCGTTAGGTTGTACCTGTATGTATGTTGTGCGCGCAATATCAACGAAAACAAAATAATAAAAAAAAAACACACCATCAACACACAGCAACAGTCAAAGATAGAGAAGAAATTAAGAGGAAAAAAAAAATAAAAATAAAAATAAAAGCGAACAGCACTGCACACATGTGTGGCCGGGGGATTTTTTTAAATGATTCGAATTGAATCGAATCAATCGATCGCGATCGATGGTTTTTTCTCTATTCTTTTTCATCTTTTTTTCCCGATATTTTTTTTCTTGTGATTGATTAGTGGAACAGTGAAGATGAATTGTTTGATGATTCGCTAAACTGTTCAAATAAAAAAAATTATCAATATTGATTATTTTTGAACAAGCAAACAAGCAAACATCAACCGATAATATAATCTGATGATGTTATTTGACAAATTTTTTTCCTTTTCCATTTTCCATCCAAAAAATTATCAATCCGATTGATAATTGATAAAAGAATCAATTGAATGAATAATCGATTGTTGTTGGTGTATGAATCGATTATCATCATCACTTTATTAATCAAACGAGGTGACTTTTATTTTCATTAACATTAAATCTGATAAACATCATTATCAGTATTTTGGTTATTTACAACCAGTGATGTGTGTGTGTTTGTGTGAGGGAAGATAAAATAAATACAAAGATTAAGACATCAAACAAAAATTATTTTTAATCTTATTAAAAAAAAAATTTTATCATTTTTTCTTTCTTTTCCTAAATGATGATGATGACAAGAAGAACAAGACCAAACAAACAAACAAAGAAATTAGTAAGAAGAAGATATTTGTTTGACATTTGTACATTGATTGTGTTTTGACTAATTGTAATGATGATGATGATGATGAAATAATAATGATGAATGTTAATATTAAAATAATAATAATAAAAAAAAAATTTGTAACACATTAATGATTTGTATAATAAGATGATGTGTAGGTGAGAGAGAGAGAGAGTGAAGATAAAGATGACAAAATAATTCATCGAAAAATAATTACAAAGTTGTTTTTTTCCACTCTCTCTTCTTTGAAATCTTTTTACATTGACAAAACAAATTAATAATTCGAATGGAAGAGGAACAAAAAAATAATAGTTGAATTTCTTAATTTAAAAATCCACGACAACCAACCGATCGACATAGGCAAGGTATTTTATTATCATCTTCAATTGGAAATTTATAATCATAGGTAATCTCTTGTCCAACTTCAATCAATTGTTTTGAATAGATAACAATTCTTTTCTGGCCTTCAACCGTTATTACTTTGGCATAACAATTTGGCTAATTTGATTGAAAATAATAAAAATAATCATTGAATTATTGTTCATTTAAAATTGGCAAAAAAAATATACTTACATTACAACTATGATTAATAAAACGGGCAACATTACCACAATGTGTAGCATCAATAATTGTATCCGAATCAATTTTAAATAGATAAGAACTACCTTCATTTAGATATTTTTTCTCACGAATTTCAGCTACCATTGGTCGTATTCTTTGTCCAATATATTCAATGACCATTTCATCTGGTGGTATTGGTTGCATAGCAAATAATCCCCATACATGAATCTTACTACGTGCAAATTTTACCTGTTTTTTACGGAACTATTTTATGGAAAATATATGTTAATTAATTGATACAAAAGACTAAAAAAACGGACAAACCTTTAATTGATTTAATTTAAGAAGATCCGTATGATAACTGGATGCTTGTTCAACTAAATTATAAAGTCGACGTTGATTACGAGCTTCTCGTGTTAATTGCTGTGTGGTAACTATTTGTTTTGGTCGATTTGTATCTTCCATTTCATTACTTGCAATCGGTATGTTAGCAATATGATGCATCTTTTCCATACGATCTAATTTATAATAGCCTTCACAACGTGCACATCCCGTTTCATGAACACGAACAAGATTATCTTCTTTACGTTTCTTTTTTGGTGGTTGCCAATAGGTAGCCGGATGATCAACCCAATGAATATCATTCAACCATGGTAGATTGCTATTATCTTCTTCGAGTAGCTGATGATATCGACGTTTAAGATAGGCAATCTCTTCCAATTCCAAACCAGTATGAAGAAATTCAAATAGAATTGCCTCTTCTGTTTGTGAATTACGTACTGGAAATGTAATCGGTGGCGGTTCCGGAGTTGTTGATTTATTTTCATCAATAACCATAAGATTTTCCGATGAAATTAATTCCGGTTGTTTGACAGATTTACGTTTTGCTTTTCTCCATTCGGATGCAACAGCCAATACACTGGGCGTAATATTCTCATCGGTAACAATTTCATCCTTCTTCTTTCGTTTTCGTTTAGGTTCAGCAGGAGCTGTTTTAGGCTGTCGTTTTCTTTTACCATTAACTGTTAATGGAGATAATTCCGGCCTTTCTACGATTCGCCTACAATAATTATGTTCCAGGTTAACTAAATCGTTTAGTGATAATGGTAACGAATGTTTTAAATCTGGTGACTGTTGTTGAGATCGTGAAAAATCATCACCCGATGTTTGTTCAAACCATGATGCAGCAAGCGAAATAAGCGCTTCGGATGCTTCAAATTCTTCTCGGGTTTTTGAATTCTTTATATTGTCAAAATTCATTCCATTAAGGCTCAACGATTCTCGACGTCTTAACTCTTCTTCACATTCCTTTGTTTCATCCGCTGAACATGTACGACTTGAATCCGAATCATAAGCATCATCATCATCATCATCATCAAGATGTTTTGCAGAAATGGATTCATCATCTATTCCATCTTGAATTGAAACGGTTACCTTAGCTTTAGTTTCATTCACTTTGTTTTCACTTATTTTTGCAGTCAATGAAGATTTGATAGAAGACTTAGTTGACGATTTTGTTGTTTGAGATTTTTTCGATAAAATTGAACTGGCAACAGATATAGCATCAGCAATTGATGATGCTGCTGCGGCTGATGACGATGATCCTGAGGCATCTGATTCTTCAGGACCAGATTCTTCTTCAGCTGAAACTGAAGCAGATACCGATGCTGATGAACCGTTTTCTTCTTCTGATTCTTCATCAGATGATGATCCAGATGTGGATTCAGAGGAAGATGATCCTGACTCGGATTCTGAACTAGATGATGATGATGATGACGATGAAGACGAAGACGAACCAGAAGATGATGACGATTCAGAAGATGACGATGATGAAGCGGATGATGATTCTGATGATTTATCATTACGATGTCGTCGATGATGGCGACTAGGCAAACTGTCTGAGCTAATTGAAGAACGTTTATGTCTATGATGAGGTATCCGATGATGTGGTCTACGTCGAATAATTCGCCTTTCGTCAAGATCATCATCATCATCATCCGATATGTCTGATAGTTTATCATCGACAGGTGATTTTGGTTTAATAATTTTTCTTTTAAATGATGGCATTTTACCCATTGCAGCACGTAATCCACGACTGACACCATATTCTAAATTTGAGCTATTAATTTGATGACGATGACGATTTTGGATGGAATTTTCAAATATTGGATTAGTCAAAAAAGGTAGATGAATTTCGGCAAGTTTGAATGGTGGTTCACCGACTTTATTATTATCACGATCACCACTTATATTATTAGTATGTATACCATCCGAAGGTAGATGATATTTTCGTTCAGAATCTTCCCACCATTGATCAAACATTTTAAATGAAAAATTTTCGACAATTTTCTTATAAATATCTTTCCGTAAAATTTCTTTTAAATCTTTTATCGATGCTTTAAGCGTATCATCAAGTAACTCTTTAATAATATCTTCATTTGATTTTGCAATACGTGAACGTATATCATTTAGATCGAATGACGGTGGTATGGAAGATATGGAGCTTGTTAAAAAACTATCAAAAAAACTAAATGCAGGCTGTGCCTGAAAGCTATGATACATAAATTGTGGAAATAATGAATTTGTTATTGGATTATATGAATCAACTGAAGCAGTTGCTGTTGATGAATTCCATTGTGCCATCATTGTAGATAGATCATTATAATTCATTGATGTTCCTGCTGCAATTGATGTTGTCATCGTTTGATGATTATTTGTAATCACAGAATTATCTTCCAATTTATTATCACCACTGCTCAATGATGATAATGACATTCTATCATCATCATCATCATCATCATCATAATCGACATCTTGGTTATGACGTTTTTTGAACATCGTTTCATTTGTCTGATTTTTATCACTATCTTTATTATCAATTTCTTTAGTAACCTGATGCCATCTAAGATATTCGGAAGCTGAAACAAATGGTGATGGTGGTGTTCCTAATATAGCATCGGAATCATCAATTTTTTTCTGTGAATTTCGTCGATGAAATGTATGTTCATGATTATTCAATATAGGAGGCAGTGGTGAAAAGTTTGGATCTTGATTATTATTAGAACCATCGGGAAAAAATGATGCAACCATCCCAACACAATTTTTTCGCAACAAATTACTAATACGCTTTTCTAAACTTTCACGAACAGGACTTTGATTACCTGAATCTTTTGTATCACTAGTTTTCCAACCGGTTGTTGTACCAGGTGTAGATATTGTATCGAATTGATTTGTAGTATTGGTTGATGATGGATAAAATGTTTGATTATCAAACGTTGAAGGTGTTGACAATGTAGTTGAATTAAAATCGGTTGAGACATCATAGGAACTATAATCAGATGTTTTTGTTAATCTTGATTTAGTTGGATCAAGTAGATTTGGATCGATAAAATTATTTTCATTAACATTTGTTAATGAATTAGCCGGTGGTGGATTGACAATTGATTCATAAATTTGATTAATTTTTTTAGCTAAAAAAACAAAACACAACAATTATTGCATTCATTTCGAATGATGATGAAGACCGCGAAGAAAAAAAACTTACCAAAAGGATCGAAAAATACATTAATAATATTGCCCATTAATGATGTTTGATTTAACTTATCGACACAAGCTTTTGCACCCGATGGTGTCATAAATATTATTTTGGCTAAGCCAAGATGTTTGTTAGTTTTAGGATGATAAAATATTTCAATTTCTTCCATTGCATCGAATTTTTTCAATTGATCTTCAAGAAATGATTTATTGATATTATCATTTAGATTAGTTATGGATACTTCGATCGATGGTGGTGCTCCAACATAATTTTTGTCAATCTTTAATTTTTTTTAGATGAAAAAAAAATTCTCATAAGTTTTAGATAAAAATTGAATAAAAACACAATTACTTTGAAACGAGGAATAATCAAATCAGCTGGTTCCCTGAGATTCCAATGTAATGATACATGTTGACGAGGATCTTTAACAATAATGGCCAATTCTTTCTGTTTTTTTTAATAAATTCGAAATTTTTATTACGAAAAAGTATTTTTTTTTTTTTTTGAAATTCAAACTTACCGATGAAACGTTACCATCATAACGATAAAGTTTTGGAGCTCCTTTTTTCAGCATTGGATCGCTAACCAATTTATAACTTTTATATTTTTTCTCCTGTTGTGGATGATTGATATTAGGCAACGTTGGTGGTGGTGGATATTGCTGTGACAATAATTGTTGTTGTTGATGATGTTGATGATGATGAGGCTGCTGTTGATGTTGTTGAAAGGATGGAATCGGATTATGATGATTTGTAGCATTCGATTTATTATTCGAATGATGATGTTGATAATGATGGTGAGCATCATTTTGGCGATTTTGTTGTTGTTGTTGTTGTTGATGATGATGATGATGATTTAAATTTTTTTCATTCAAATCCTGATGTGGATGATGACGAATAATTTGATGATGATGATTGATTGAATCTACATTGGTTTTCGTTGTTGTTGTTGTTGTTCGATTTTTTGGATCAAATTTTATCAGATCATTTATCGAATCATGAGTAATATTATCTTTATGATGATTATTATTATTATTATTAGTCGAGCATTTTTCTTTTGTTTCATCTTCAATTAATAGATCATTTGCCGATTGATTACTGATTGGTGATGATTCGGATGATGAAACTTTGGTCATAGAAGCCACCAATGAATCGATATTTCCATTCATTTTTTTTGTATGAAGAAAAATCTTTTAAATTAATTATTCCAAAAAAAAAGTTAAAGAAGAAAAGTTGGAAGAAAAAAAAACGAAATTCGACAATTGATTCGAATTTTTTTTTTCGCCAACCAATCCAAAACAAGATTAAATTATTAGGCCATTTCGATTATTATTATTATTATTATGGGAATTCAATATGTTGAAAGAATTTTCATTGAATATATTCGAACGATTCTTGATCAATAATTATTTTCGATCCAGAATATCCAATAACGCTTAGAAATAATAGGAAATAAAACAATCTTGAAGATTCCAGGAAAGAATTTTAATTTATTTCGTATGATGATAAAGATGATAAAGATGATAATATCGATAAAAGATTAGTAAAGAATTTGTAGAAAGAAAAATTTATCATATAATTTCATTGAAGAAACGAAAAAAATGGTGAAAAGTGCGAGTTTTTTTTTTGTTTTATGTTATGTGTGTGTGTGTGTATTGTGGAAAAACCTTACACAAATACACACACACACAAGGAGCTCAATAAATTGTTTCAATCATATTCGATAGATGACACTGAAATCGATTCTATTTTAACCTTTATGGTTTTTTAAAAATCTTTACGGTTACAATAGATGATAATTTTGGGTTAAAAAAAAATTAAAAAAATGGAAAATCAAATGATTCAAAAATGTTTTCAATTTCGAACCGATCATTCAATGTTTAGATTGAATGATTCAACGGATCAAAATGATGATCAATTAATTGAATTGAAAATTTTACAGGTTTGTTAATGGTTTTTGTTGGAAAACATTTTTTCATTTCGATTAGTTTAGGATTCAGATAATCAATATTCATCGATTACATGGCCAAGTGCCGATCTTCTTTGTCGATTTATATTGACCAATCGTTTGGCTTTCATTGGTAAAACTGTTTTAGAGCTTGGTTCGGGTACTGGAATCTGTGGTATTTTGGCAGCAAAAATTGGCGCCAAAGTTATTCTAAGTGATCAGAAAATTGAAACATTCGAATTAATTCATAAAAATGTTAATCTTAATAATGTTGAAGCTCAATATATTCCATTAGATTGGAGTCGAAAAATTGATTTGATTAATGATCAAATTCCTACCAATATTGATTACATAATTGGATCGGATCTTTGTTATGAAGATGAACAACAATTTGAAAAATTATTACTAACAATTGCATTTTTGATACGAAATAATCAACAAACATCAATACCATTCTATATGACATATCATTTTCGTAGCTCTAATTATCATATTGAATGTTTACTTCGAAAATTTAAACTTCAATGTAAACTATTGTTTCATAGTGAAAATTTAAAAATTTATTTATATGAAATTACATTGATATGACTAATCACAAGAGAGAAAAACGAATCATCACTAAACATTCATCTTTGATGATTGGTTAACAATTTTGAATGAATAATTTTCACTACATCATCCAATGATTTGACTTGTTTACTATCATCCGAATTTAATGGCAAACGTTTCGTTTTGATACCAAGTTTTTTACATTTTGATACTGTTAATTCAATGATTTTTCGACGATCAACAATACCGCCAATAATGAATACAGTATCCGAATCGATTGTTATCGATTGATCAATCGTATCGGTTGCATGTGGTGATAGATAAATGATTTGTTCATGATGAAATAATTCATTAAATGATTCGTTATGAAAAAATACATTCGGATAATTATGACGATGTGATGGATCAAGAAATTTATTCAAAAATTTTACTGTTGATTGGCTTTGTGACAAACCGGTAATATGAAGATTAAACCAATTCGTTCGAAATTCATGACGATTTCGATAAATTATTCGAATTATTTGTTCGGCTAAATTTTTACATTCTAATGATGACATATAATTATCGAATGTAACATCGAATACAATGTTCGATACGAATGGAATCATCGATAATTGTTTTCGCATACGAATACGATCAATACCAGCTTTACATATTGGTTCAATCAATGCCTGGCCATCAAATGATTCAATTTGTCGAAGTTGTCGTAGATAACGATATCGTGCACGATTGGATATATCAAGCCAACAAAGACGACGATATTTTTTCATTTCAATTAATTGTTCAAGATAATTGAAATTTTTCAATGAAATATTCATCGGAACTGAAGCCGGTTCCGAATAACGAAGCCATTCAATTTCAGTTTGAATTAATTTTCTTTTAGCTCGAGCTAAATCAGAATATTTTCGAATAAACATATTAAACATTTTTGTTGATACATTTCATTTGGAAATTTTTTTTTCAAATTAAATCAGCTGTCATTTTTTTAATTTTTTTGAATTCCAATGCACAGTTACGTCATCTGGATGCGAAAATGATGGATAAACAAAAAATTCGGAATGTCTATTTTTTTTCTTCTCTTTGTTTTCATTGCTGAACAAATCAAACTAAAACAACAGCAACGAAATAGGGGAAAGAAAAACCGGCTATCATTTTCTTGTTTGATTTGTATGGTTGGGTAATGATTATTCATCCATCATATTTGATAATTACCCAATCAAGATGGCAATGAAAAATTTTCCATTGAGACTGTCATCATCATCCGTAATAATTATGTCTTCAGATCATCATCATCATCATCGCACATTTTTCTATCCTACATCAGACTAAATACCTCTAATATCTTGACAAATGATTGAAATATGATACGAAACAAAACAAAACTTTTAAGAAAACAAAAAAAAAATCAATATTCAATCAGTCAATCTTATCCAAACATCTTTTTTTTATTTAATTTTTTTTCCACAACGATCATCATCATGATCGAAGTATAAAAATTTGCCATCAAAACAATTATCTTCTATACAAACAATGAGCTCATCATAATCATTCATCAACTATCGACGCATATCATTACCAAACAAAAAAAAATTTTAATTTTTTTTCCTTCTTCATTGACGAATTTTTTGTTTTGCAATTGAATTTTCAATTTCGGAAACAAAAACGTCATCTTTTTCTTCCCCTTTTATATTTCCAAAGAAAAAATCATTCGAATCCGAATTACAGTAACAAAAAAAAAATCCATTACATTCATAAGTGAACAAAACAAAAACAAAACAAATGGAATCATCAACAAAATCAAATGGTGATTCAAATTGTCCATCAATACAACGTCCATCATCAACGTCCGAATCATCAACAACAAAAATTGTAAATAATAATGATCATAAATTAATAACAATACCAGATGGTGCCGAACAGCTACAATTTCAAATTGCTGGCCATTGTTTCGGAAAAAGTAAACATAAATGGGGTATTTTAAAACATTCAAAATCTGGTGATATATTGAAACCTGTTTTTGATAAACGTAGTCGTCGTGAACAATCATTTTATGAAATTATTTTCAATAATAATTCAAATTCGAATAATGATAATAATGATTGTTTAACTCAACTACGAAAATTAGTGCCTCATTATAATGGTCTATTTCATGATGATCAAATGAATATTGATTATATACGTTTAGAAGATATAACTGCCAAAATGATTAATATATCATTATTAGATGTTAAAATTGGCTATATAACATATGATCCGGAAGCAAGTGATGAAAAACGTCGTGCCGAAATGAATAAATATAAATATTCAAAAGATCTTGGTTTTCGAATATTAGGAATGAGAGTGAGTGTTTTTTAATTTTTCAATAGAACTTGGTTTTAATGATTTTTTTTTGTTTTCTTCCAAAAAATTAGTATTTTGATCGTTTGACCAATGAATTTGTTGATAAAAATCGTGAATATGGATTACAAATAACAAAGGATAATGCTTCTGATGGTATGGGATTTCTATATGATGTTTTAATGTTTCTAAAATCTTAATTAATTTAATTTCTCTTAGCATTATTATTGTTTGCTCAAAATGATCCAAACGTATTACGACAATTTGATAATGATTTATGCGAAATTGAAAATTGGTTCATAAAATTTAATGTACGACGATGGAAATTTTTATCATCATCAATATTGTTTGCTTATGGTATGAAAACAATCAACAACAATGACAATGATAATGATAATGATAATGATAAACGTATGACAATTGTTAAAATGATTGATTTTGCACATGTTTTCCCTAATGATGATCAAGAATTGGATGAAAATTATCTATTTGGTTTAGGTAAATTACAATTTTATATAAAATGTGCTATAAAAATTTGTGAACAAAAACAACAACAACAACAATAATGAAAAAAATTCTTTGTATCAAAAGCAATCGAACAACAAAACAATATCGAGTGAAAAAAAATCGAACGAAATTTTATTATTTCATTTTAAAATAATTCTATATAGGATATTATATTGCCATAATTTCAAAAAAAAATGATAAAAATAATTGAAAAATTGAATATAATTCTATTGTTTTGTTTTGGTTTTTGTCATTGAATTTACTAAAAAAAATGGAGCGAAAAAACTGGATTCATCTAAACATTTTGTTTTTTTTTCAGCCAATAAATTTTTCGTTCGAATCGAATCGAACAATTCTAATTCATTAGCCAAAAATCAAGATCCAATTCACGGCTATAAGGCATAATCGATTGATTAGCTTTTGGACATGGATGATCCAAATGATAAAGCCATGTACGATTACCATTGAAAACATTCAATGATAATTTATATAATTCATTCGACAATAATGATGATGATGATGATGACAACAATGATGATGGTGATTTAATTTGACGATGAAAATGTCGGCTCCAATGACGATAGAAATCAGTTTCGTAATAATTTTGTAAATTTGAAGATAATGAAGACAAATTAATTGATTGATCACAGCGATTAGTATTGATATTATTATTATTGTTAATATTATTATCATTATCATTCAATTGTGCACCCAGCAAATCGGTATTACGGAAATAATCCAATATTTCAATATCATCAGAAATTATTGTTGTATCATGATCATTATCTTGATCCAAATTCAAACTTTGCTTTTCAAACGGTTGTTGTTCCAAATGAAAAGATTTGATTGCTTGTTCAATCTTAGCCGGAATATCATCCACAGCCATTTGAATTTGTTTTAAAGCCAGATTTAATTTACGAATTTCTTCAACAATTTCTTTTTGAAAATCATCCGTTTTTGTTGTTGTTGTTTTTGATTGTAATGAATCCGATTGCTTTCGTTGAAGATAACGATCATAAAATAGTTTAGTCATTTCCATTGGATCACCTAATGAATCAAAATTATCCAATGAAGTAAAATCATTTTCATCCATCAATGATGACTGAAAAAGAAGAATTGTATTAATTTTTTTTAAAAATCAAAATACAAACATGATAATTTCAGAATCACATTACTTACATCTTTAATTGTGCACATTGTTAAAAACCTATTTTTTTGGCCTCTGCTTTACTTAAAAAAAACTTGAATTCAATGAATCAAATGTTGATTTACTTGGGATGCTCGATGAATAGAAAATAACCTAAAACGCATTAAATTGGGGTAACCAAAATCAAAGTTCTTTCATGGAGATAGATCGATAAATATTTTTTTTATTTTCTTTATTTTACATGGACAAAAATGTTTTTATCAGTAAACGATTGCAAGATAATCATTTGACTTTTTTTACTCACAAAACAAAAATGTGTTTTCCTCTTGACGATAATAAATATATCTCAACAACGAAAAAGATGTCACGTATTTACTTGATCATAATGAACGCATGCGTGAATGGAATTTTGTTCGTTCAGATAAGATGTTACCGAATGTGAAAAAAAAATCAAATTTTTTTTACCGGCGCAAATTGTATTAATTAAAATTAAAAAAAAAATTTACCGACCATGATTGTATTTTGATCATCAAAAAGATCAAATCTAAGGTTATAAATATTTTATTTATAACAATGTTATTCGGACAACAACAACAACAAAAAATTCATCAAAGTTAATTGTTTTATTTAGGTTTCACGACGACCTGTCGAGGAGGATATGAGGAAAAAAATCAAGCCAAGTCATCATGACTTTTGACAAAAAATTTGGAAACAAGATTTTTCAATGTTAAATTGTATTAGATTTAGGAAAATTGAATTAGATGATGATGGTGGTATGTGTTAATTAATTAATTGGTTTTCCGATTCGGTTACTACCATTTTCAACAACTACGACGACGACGACTGCCACCACCAACGGATCGGATCGAACAAACGGTAAAAAAAATCATTATTAATTCACAACAATTTAACCCGAGTATAAAAAGGGCGATAGATGTTGAGTACAAAAATGATTTTTATGGGTATTTGATCCGTTTTTTTTCTCGTCGAAACCGTTTTTTTGTATTTGTTTTTTGTGATTTTTGTTTGTTTTGTTCTTGAAAATCGGTGTTGCTATCCGAAAAGAAAATCTGATATTTCAGTAAAAAAAAAATGATGCTCCTTTTCCTTATGACTTTGTGCCTGACCAGCACATTAGGTATGGAAATTAAGAAAAAGAAAAAACATTGCTAAAAGTAAAATTTTTTTTCCCTGTTTTGATTTAGGCTATGCCGATGTTAAAGATGCCAGTGGACCATCATCAAGTGCAATGCCATTGATAACAACATCAACAGAAATGTTATCACAACCAATGTCCAGTGTCCAGCCAGTATCCGAATCATTAACAGCATCAGCAATCAGTTGTTATGTTTGTAATTCAAAAAATGATTCAGCATGTTTTGATGAGAAAACATTACGAAAAGATCATATCCATGAATGTCATCCGATTAATGGTCAACAAAGTATTGGTTGTTGGCGTTTAGAACAATGGGTTATCTATGATCAAAATGCGGGTAAGAAGTTATTGAATTCAATGATTATCTAATGAATTGAAGAAAAAAAAACCAAAAATATTCAATTTTTCTTATTTATGATTTTAGAATTGAAAGCTCATGATCGAATTATTCGTGCCTGTGCATATAAAAAACAAGATCATAATTGTATCTATCGTAGCGGTTTTGGTGGTATGATTTCACATTGTCTTTGTAATAGTACTGCATGTAATTCAGCAATGACAATGTCATCAATTACACCGGTCAGCTATTTCTTTACATTATTATCAACATTGTTATGTTTTGTAACTATCAAATCTTTCTTTTAATTAATTAATTGATTGATTGATTTGTTTGAGAAAGAAAAAAAAAATAAACCTGAAAGATGATTGATTTACCGCTGTTTGTTTGTTTGTTGTTTGAAAATTACAAAAATATAATTACAATTTTTCACATCCCCTTTCCCCCCTGCTTAGTGTATACAAAAAAAAACAAAGAATCTGTTAATTGAAATAAATTTTATTTATTCTCAAGTTTGGTTGATAAAATTGTTTTTATTTACATGGAAAAAAACCAAATCAAATTATTTTCTTGAAGCTCGAATTTTCTCACTTATCGATATAATTTTTCTTGATGTTAATCGACGTTTTCTTGATTTATCGAATAGAATTTGTTCACGAAAATTACATGCTGTTGTTTGTTGAATTGGTGGTTTAGCCGTTTTATTCAATTCATCTAATGATAAAATTTCATATTTTGTTGCTTGAGTGGTCAATGTTTTGGTTTTGGCCAATTTTTTCTTTTCTCGTTTATTCTTCTTCAAAATGTTTGGATCAACAACATTTGTGTCGGATTTTTCAGCTTCCACTGTTGAAAATTCTGTTTCAATTTCTTCAAGAAAATCTTCGGGTAATTTTTCAATTTTCAATTTTTTCTGCTCAACATTTCGTTCCAATTCACGACGTCGTTTTTGTTTTAATTTTTCTTCGATAAAATTTTGAGCAATTTTTTCTTGTTTAAAATTTTCACGTGCTTCATGTTCGGCAATTTTTTTCGACACTTCTACTGGTGCATCATCATCATCATCACCATCGACATCATTATCATCGAATTCATCAGGAGGATTCATTTTTTGGATCAAAAAGAAAAAAATTCAAAATTTCAAAAAATTTATTTGTTTTTCCACGTGTGAAAGAATTTCACAAGAATATTTTTTCATTCCTCATTTTATCAACATTTCTTGGAAAGTTTCTTTTTTTTCAAAAAAAAAATTTGGCGCCCGAAACTTTTCTGAACATAACCTGTAATATTCATTCGACGTGCAGATGAATTAATTTCCTAAAGATAATTTCATTTTTTTTGAAATGAATGTCAATTCGGTTAGATTTATAAATCCGGTGTACGTGTATGTGTGTACACAATGATTGAATTAATTAATCAATTTTTGTTTTTGATGATCGTCGTTACTTGATGACTTTAGAAAAAATTGATGCATTCATTCGAATTAAATGTTTTTTTCTATTCTGTACAATGATTTTCTACAAATTATCATCAATACAATTGTAAAAGTCGTTCAATTTTAGAAAGCAAACGAAAATAATCGATAATTGTTCATCTGGGAAAGAAATCGAACACATTGACAAACGAAAAAAATGACATCATTACGAATATTTAATTATCGACTTTCATTCAAATATTCATCCGGATTATATCTAAGTAAATGGAGTTTAGTATTTTTAAATGTTTTATTTATTGTTACCGATATAATAATATCATCAATAATATGGGTTAATCTTTATGATGATTATCGTCCATTTATGAATCAAACATCATTACATATTGAAACAACGGAAGAATTTAATGATTTGCTGGAAACAAAAAAATTCGGTATCATTTTAATTGGATTGATTATCACTATCGTATCAACAATCGGTATATTTGGTGCTATACAAAAAAATATCAAAACCATTATGGTATATGATGCATCAGTTGGTTTTATTCTGATTTTATTATTATTTGGTTGGAGAAATTATCTAAATATTTTCTATTGGTGGATTACTGTTTTGTTGGCAATATTATTATCATTAATATTATCATTCATTTATATTAAAACTATTCGTAATGAACCGGTTAGAATTCGTAAACAATTATTATTGAATCATGTGAATACTCGTGAAAGTTTTATATTTTAAAAAATTTAAATTTTATCATTTTTTTTTCTCAATTTAAAAAAAACAAACAAACAAACAAAAATCGTAATACAAAAATAATAGAAAAATAAACAAACATACACAAACACAATAAATCAAATTAATAAATAATTAATTTTTGAAACAAAAATGAATCAATCCCAATCTTCAAAATCTTTATCATCATCATCATCCGAACTATCATGATTCGTTTGATTCGATGTTGATATTGTTGGCGGTGGTGGTGGTGGAATCAATGCCGACATATTTAACATTGCTGAATTTGCATCAAATGTTGGTGATTTAATTGTACGATCTGTATTTGATTTATTTACTATTTGTTGATGATCACTACTAATTCCACTACGTCTTGATTCAAGACGTTTTCGAAGTTCAGACATCATATCCAAACCTTTATTATTATTATTATTATTTGTTTGATTATTTATAGGTGATTCAGTCATTGAATCTTCTAATGCATCTTTTTTCTTTAATTTTTCATCATGTTTTCGTTCTTTAATAGTTTTCTTTTTGGGTTTTCCACCGGCTGCTCGAATCGATTCTAATAAACTAGCTCTACCAATTTCAAGTTGTCCATTCGAAATTGAATTCTGTATCCTTGGTGTAGCAATAGTCGTTTGTTGACTTGATCCAACCAAAGAAGATAAAACTGATGAAGATGGTAATGGTGGTGGTGGTACCGGTGGTGAAGATAAAACTTGTTCATCCAGCATTGAAGGAGGAGGAGGCGGCGGAGGTGGTGGTGGCGAAATAAAAGACGTAACACCATTTTCAACAGGAATGGACAATTCGGGTAGCTTATCAACATTAATATCGATTATTGGCTCGGATTGATTTGAATTTGATGGTGCAAATGTAGATTTTGATAATAATGTTAAATCAGGAAGATTTAATTGGTCAGTAATATCTGAATCACCCGTATCTTTAAAATGAAATTCATCTGCTATTCCAGGTAATGAAGGCAATTCAGTAGGCAAATCATCAAGTATTTCAGGTTTTGTATGAAAAGTTAATTGAAAATCATTATCATTAATATCAGTTTTTTCCGATATCGATATAGATTCGGAAAATTTTTGTGAATCATTATCGATAGATTTTATTTTATTTGCTTGTTGTGAAAATTTTTTAGCAAATATTGTTGGACGACCAATTGTGTAGGCGTTTTCCGATGAATTAAATAATAATAAGGAACTAAGACTAGATATCTGTCGCCATGGTATATTCGATTCGGATAGATGATCTGGTATTAATGATTTCTGTTTTTTTTGAAGTAAAAAAGAAAATACTGACTTAAGAAACAAGAATTTAAAAAAAAATCAAACTTACATTTGGCTTTTTATCATAGATATAGAATTGTGATTTCATTTTCGAATCATCATCATATGGAACATGTGTAGAATTAATAGTTACTGTTTTATCTTTATCATCATCATATTTGGTTTTAGCCAAACCAGGTATATCACGATCATTTATGAAAAAACTATCATAAAATTCTTTTACTTTAATCTCACGACTAGGATATTTTGAATGTGAATACAATGTAATCGCTTTCTTTTCATCTTTAAGTAATGAAATTTTCTTTGCACAAATTTCCGTTCGTTTATTAATATTTTGTAATTTAGTTTCGACATTTTTGAATTCTGTATTCAAATGTTTGAATAATCTTTCCGAATATGAATCAATTAATTTTAATCGTTCGGCAATCTGTACAATCAATTCTTCACGACGAAGATTTTCGGGTGTTGCAATAAATTGAAATGCCATAATAAAATCATTTGGAAAATATGATAATGTTCAACATAAAAAGGGATTTTTCAGAATTAAGAATTGAATTTCATTGAATCAAATGATCGAAATGTGAAGATGAAGAAAATTATGAAATTTTCAATCCATTTGGACCAAATGAATGATGCATTTTTTTCATGACATACTATTTCTACACAATCGGATCGCAAAATTCGAAATGGATTTTTTTTTGAAAATTTTTTTTATTTTAAAAAATTATTATTATTATTATCAGTCGTGTATATATTCCTAATGCAAAGTTGAAAATTAATTAAAATTTATACATTATAATAAATAAAGAAAAAAAATGTCGAAAAAACAATTCCAGATCAATTTGGACAATCCACATCATCATTCATTGTAACATCATCATCGCTGTTGCCATCGCTATTATTCCAGAATGAATGAATGAAAAAGAAAAGAAAAATGGTCAGATGAAAACTAAAGGAAATTTGAGAGAGAGAGAGAAAAAAAACTTACTCATCGGCCATTCCATTGTTTGCTAAATTCAATATTTGTGAAAGACATTCACCAAATTGATCCATAATCAAACTTTCGATATTTTCTTCTTTAAGATTTTCAAATTCACCTTCTTCTGCTTGTGCTAACAAACAGCTAGCAGTAGCTTCGAGAATATCATTCGTAAGTACATTGAAAGGATGACTAAAATTAAATCAAAATAAAATGCAAAGTTCAAATTTGAAAAAAAATATCAATAATCGCTTACCAATCGCTTTTAACTTTAACTGGAAGTTTGGATTTAAATTCCGGTCCCCAAACATGCATTTTCGATGCTACTGTTTGTGGTTGTGTTGTTAAACGAACCATAGCCACATCGGCTAAATGCATTAATGTTTTACGTTCATCACTTTCTTCAAAATTTTTACAACCAATACATTTACATTTATCTGAACAAAGAATTTTAGCTTCATAACATTCACAATAATTTTTTAAACAACCACTTCTTTTACAACAACATCCTTTTGTATGGCGACGTTCAATATCACCTTGATTACTTTGACCAATTTTTGGATGAAATGCATTTGGATTTCGATCCAAACATAAACGTATTGCTTTTTGTCTTATTTCTTCATATTCAAGATTATTATAACAGCTAACACAATTACAACCATTACAAAATTCTCCATTAGCAAAACAATCACAATATAATTTTAAACATTGTGATCGTGTACAATTGCATGGTTTTCTTTTTGATTCTTCTAATCCATCAAGTCTAAAAAACAAAACCAAAACAAAACAAAAATAATAATTGAAAAGATTAGAAAAATTCTATTAAAACTTACGCATTCTTAAGATTTTGAGCTATTTTTGAACGATCCGCAAGTGGTTGATTAGGATTCGGTGCAATTGGAACATATTTTGTAGTAGTTGTTATTATTTCTTGTTGACTATCATTCATTTTGATAATCTGTTTCGGTAACATCCAAACTGATGTGGTATGATTTTTTGATTTATTATTATTCGATGTTGATGTAGTTGTTATTGTTGATGATGGCATCGTAATTGATGCCTGTATGGTAGTAGCCGTACCAGAAATTTTAATTGTATTTGGATTAACTAAAACTTTTTGACCATGACCAACTTGAACAAGATTTGTCGATTTGATTGATGATGATGATGATGATTTTTGTTTTGATTGTTTAATTGGTACAAATTTTGTTGTACCAATTTGTCCAGCAGTTGTTGTTGTTGTACCAACAATTGTTCCTGTTGATGTTTGAATCTGTTGTGTTGAATTGATCGGTACAAAGCTAATATATTGAACATTTTTATTTGTTGTTGTTGCTTGAATTGGACGAACATTAGCCGGTGATATAGTTGATACAATTGTTTTTGTTATTGGAGCCGGTGTTAATGATCGTTTTGATAATGATTGTGATGTTGTTACAGATGTTATTCCACCTGATATTGTTGTAACATTAGAAATATTTGATGATAATGTTGATGATGATGGTGGTAAAATTTTAAATGATGGAATAAATTGTGCTGATTTTGTCGAAGAATTTTCGGCCGGTTTGACTGGAGATAATATAATTAATTGTTGTTGTTGTTGTTGAGCTTGATTAATAGCAGAACTTGGAGCAGCAGCTAATATTGTAGCTGGTGTTGCAAATTGTTGTTGTGGTTGAGAATCATTTCCTTTATTATTATCGATAATTTGCGGATTAATTGATTTGACGGGAGAAGCAACAGCAGCCGCAGTACCAACAATCGATTTTGTCATCAATTGAGTATTACCACCAACATTTCCAATATTTGTTGGTTTGATTGGTGAAAATACTAAATGTCTTTGATTAGAAGTTTGAATTAATTTAACATTTGTCGGATTAGTTGTTGCGGTAGCAAATTTTTGTGATTGTAATGATGTTGTATCCGATGTTGATGCATTAATAACAATAGGTGTATTGATCAATGCTGTAGCCGGTATTGCTGTTTCGGATATATTTGGTGTTGTAACTAATGTTGCCGTAGATTGATTATTACCCGATTTTGGTAATGATGATTTTTGATGTGCAGGCAAAATATAACTAACAAATGTATTGGCTAATGTTGGAACATTTGATTGACCAGTAGGTGTTGTAATAATACCTTGATTTGAAACAAAAATCGGTTGTGTTGATCCGCTTAGTTTAATCGGTACATTAATCGATACTGGAACTGCTGTTGTTGTTGCTGTTGCTGCTGCTTGCGATGATGATGAAGATGCTGCAGCAGCAGCAAATATAGCGGTTGAAGTTTGTGGAATATTGTTAATCATTGCTGATGACGTTGATTGTTGTTGTAGCAATTGATTATCAATGACATCAGTCACAATTGTAGAAGATGATTTTTCTGTTAATTCTGGCATCATCGGGATGATATTTTGTGAACCACTTTCTTCAATACCGGTTATTGTTGATAATGTTGGAACATCGACCGAAGCTGAAGTAACAGAACTTGTTGGAATATTCGATATTGATGGCAAAGTTGTTGTTGGTATTGTTAATGATGTTAAATTAGTATCAGTCATGATTACATTCGATGAAGCTACATTATTATCTGTAGCTGTTGATGGTAGAATATTTTCCGGTATAATCAAATTATTATCGGAATCCATTTTTCAAAATTCTGAATGATTTAGAAAAAACAAAATTTTATTCATTAACACGAAAGAAGCAAAAAAAATTTCAGAGCGAGCATTTTGAAAATCAATCGCGGAGGCGCATTCAATGAATCGAGGGAGGGCATTATTTCGACAACAATTTCATATGTTACAAGTTATCAATCAAAGTTATTTGTGTTTTTTGTACATACCACACACACACCTGAAAACTTTTGTTTTAGCCATCGAATTGAATTTGCTTAATTTTTTTGCTTAATCAAAAAACAAAATCATTTGAAAAAAATGACAAATCCAAATACAATTCTTAAACAACAAATTCAATCTTGTACACAGGGTAATCCTAAAGATTTTATCGAAAAGTAAGAATCCATTGTCAAAAAAAATAATGTAAATTCCATTAATATTTTAATCATTATAGCTTTTGTAAAGTTCTTGATCAAATTTTCAATGAAAATGGTATCGATCTATTGGATAATGTTAAATGTTTTGTTGATGAAAGTAAATATTTTCTTCTTTTTTTGAATGTTTCATTCATCTAATTCGATTATCAATTTTTTTCTGGTTTCAAATAGTTGTCCATGAATCATTTCCATTGGTTAATTCACGTACAGTTTTGAAAACATTATTCGATAAAATTATTATGCTGTCGGATGATCAAATTTTAACATTATTACGTTATATATTGGATAAATTAAATTCACGTGCACTTTCATTTGAAGATCAAGTTGTTTTCATTCGACAAACATTATCACAAATTTATGAACGTAAAAAAAATTATTCCGAAGCTGCTGAAATTCTTGAACCAATACCATTGGTAAATGGACAAAAAGAATATCCAACAGATTTTAAAATTGAAATCTATTTACGTATTGCTAAATTATATCTAGCTAATGGTGATAAAGAAAAAGCTGAAGGTTTTATTAATCGTGCTAGTATGTTACAATCGGATGTTAAAAATGAACAACTTAAAATACAATATAAATTATGTTATGCTAATTGTATGGATTATAAAGGAAAATATTTGGATGCAGCACAACGTTATATTGAAGTATCGAATAAATTTTTCATCAGTGAAGAAGAACGTTATGAAATATTAAATAATGCTATATTATGTACAATGTTAGCTGGTGCTGGTAAACATCGTTCAAGATTATTGGCAATATTATTTAAAGATGAACGTTGTCAACATTTACCATCGTTTAAATTTTTAGAAAAAATGTACCTTGAAAAGATTATCAAAAAAAATGATTTAGAATTATTTGCAACAATGATTAAACCACATCAACAAGCTAATCGTTCAGATGATACAACCGTATTGGAACGTGCCATTATTGAACATAATCTTTTATCTGTATCAAAATTATATAAAAGTATTACATTCAAAGAATTAGGAACATTATTAGAAGTTGATATTGTAAAAGTGGAAAAAATTGCATCACAAATGATATTTGAAGATCGTATGTATGGACAGATTGATCAGATTTCCAATACAATTGTATTTGAACAAACAAATAGCCTGATTACATTTGATAAACAAATTGAAACAATTTGTTTCCAGGTAAACGATGTTGTCGATTCTATACAACAAAAATATCCTGGTTGGATTGAAAAAAGTATTGAAATGTCTTGAAACAACCGGAAATATTTCATTTCAAAATGTGTTTTTTTTTCAATTTTATTTTTGTCAATTACAAAATAACAGATTTTTCTTTTCAATGATAATAATAAAATGATTAAATAATCAACTAAAACAAGAAATTCATTCTAAATATTATTATATACACGATTAACACCTTCTAATTCACCAATTTCATTGATTGCTTCGACAATTTGTTGAAATGATTGTTCAGATATTTCATTTCTTACATAAGGTATTAATTCAACACCATTTTCAATAACAACATAATGATTTGAATAATTTTTTTCAATATATCCTTTAACACGTATATGTGAATATTCATCACCTAAAAACATTAATATTGTATTATCTTCATCATCGATACGAACTTCTTCAGCATCAGCTTCGATTGCAATTTCTTCTGCTTGTTCAAGATCAAAATTCGAATCATTTTTAATATTTTTTACACGTACAACACCTTTTTCTTCGAATAATGATAATGCACGTCCTTCATCGGCAAAACCGAAACCAATTTTTTTCTTCAATATTTTTCTTACTTCATTACGAAATTGATTACGATTATCAACTTCGGCATCGATCACTAATACTGAACCTTCAGGACCAATGATTTCAAGTTTCATTAAAACTGTTTTCTTTTCCAATGATCTTTTAACAGCTTTTTCAATAGTAGAATTTGGCATATTTGCTTTTCGACATTCTTGAATAACATCACCGAATTCTCGATTTAGATTTGGATCAGCACCACCTTGTTTCTGAACGGCTGTTCGAATTTTCATAATTAAACGATTGTAAAGCTGTGATTTTTGCTGATCTTTTGATGCTTTTATATGTTTAATATTTTGCCATTTTGAATGACCAGCCCAAAATGCCGGTGTTAAATGAAATAATCTTTGCTGTTGATGATGAACAATATTCAATGAAATAGCCGATCTATACAATTTTAAACAAGAACTTCGGCCATATAAATGATTGATTATTTGATTAAATGGTATCATCGCTTTCTTATTGAAGAAAAAAAACAAGAATTATGATCAGAAAATGAAGAAAAAGATAAACTTGAAAAAAATTCAATTAAAATAACAACAAAAAAAAACATGCACACATGCAAACAGAAACCATTTCATCATAAATAGGTCGTTCAAGTCGAAATGGTTGGACATTATTTTTCTTTTATTTCGAAAATCCTTTGTTCGTCATTTTGTCTGATGATTAGATTCGAATAATTTTTTTGTTATCGAATCCATTTTATTGTTTGTTTTTTTGTTTGTTTGTTTTTCATCATGTTTTTCGTTCCAGATATTTTGGTCCGAAAAGGTCCATTATCAATTGTATGGTTAGCAGCTCATTATGATAAAAAATTAACCAAATTTCAGGTTATGTCATCAAATATTGATGATTTAATCAATATAATAACATCATCGAATATAAAAATTTCTTTACGAATTACTTGTGATCTTATGATTGGTTTATCTAAATTAATTAAAATCAAAAGTAAATTTCTTTACAATGAATCTAATCGTCGTACAACGGCCATACATATTATGGCCGGTCAAATTAATGGTCGTACTAAATCAAAATCACGAACTAAGGTTATCGATCTGCCAGATGATCGATTTTCAGTTGATTTAAATCTACCTGAAATATATGAATTTATTGACATGAATCTACCAGATCCATCAACAGTGTTTCCAAAATCATTTACCGATCTAGATCGTAGCGTATCGAGAGGTATGATTACTATGCAGGAAATACCGCCATTGACTGAAGATGAGCTTCGTATGGAACAAGAAATTCATGATCGACTTTATGGCGATGTTGATTCGGTTGATTTTAATGAATTTTTTGATGATGTTTTACCGTTACCACGTCCTCAGCCACAATCACCACCTATTAGTGTTGCTCAATCATTGTCTCCGGAACTGATGCCACCACCATCTACACCTCCAATAGAAGCTACTTCTACATCGATGGTTGATGTTCAACGAATGGATGATGATGATGATCATCCAATAATGACCGAAATAAATACACCACCATTACCATTTTTTCAGACAAGTCCTACAGAAGCTGAAAAACAAAGTAACAAAAAACGTACTACATCGGAACAGGATTTTACTTCAACCATTGAAAAACGACGTCGTACTGATACCAATACTACCGTTTATGATAATCTTCTTGGTAGTTTAGAATTACCTGTTTTAGATGAATCATCTAGACGTATCCAGCCACCACCACGACGACGACGACAAATTCGAAATGGGCATCATTCTCGTCTTATCATTGATTATAATATTCGAATTTCTGATAATGTTATTCGAAAAAATATGCTTGAATCATATAATTGGTCAAATACATTGCCAAATATTTTTGTTCCAAAAAAGAAATTATTTGATACTTGTGCTGATCTATTTGATCGACCTAAACGATTATTGGCTAAAGGTTTTCAATTTTATTTTCAAAATGCTCGTCACAATTCACAACCAGAACCAGAAATTCAAACAACAACAACAACAACAATAGAAAGAATCGATGCTGACACAATCGAAATGTCACCACATTTAGGTGAAGATTTTTTTCAAGAAACATTACCATCACCTTTTTTACAGCCATCGACACCACCACAACCATTTGATGAATTAACAGCACAATCACCAATTCATGATAATCTTCCAACAATTGATTATGATCATGATGAAATTCCAATGGCTAGAGGTGAACATATTATTGATGGTCAAGATGGTACAATACCACAGCCAAGTATTCCAGAATTTTCCATTACTGATCGTACAATTATTGATGAAAAATTTAACGAAACATTGGATGATTTGTTTGCAATATCTGCCGATCATTTACAATTTGAACAACTAAACTTCTATGATAATCGTAAACGTACAGTTCTTTTGTATTTTTTCAATCTATTAGTAATGAAAAATAATGAACAAATTGATCTGGAACAAGAATCATCGATCGAACGATTTAATCCTATCTACATTCACCGTGTTAATAGATCTGAAGCTATTATTTAAAAGAAAAAAACATTTCAAAATAATGTTCGATCTTTATTTTCTTTTAGTAATTTTAAATTTTTGTTTAATCATTTTGAAATTTTTTTTTCTAAAAATTCCATTGATTTTTCTTTTTTTTCGATTTATTTCATTAACTTGTAATAATCATTTATAACAATTGAATAAAACATTTTTCATTTTGAACATTTTGTAGTTTTTTTGCACCTAAAAATCAAAGTGTAAATATAAAATTATGACGGAATGCGTTTCTTTTTTTTCACATATGTCATATCATATGTGAAAAAACTGATGAATCTCGATAAATTTTTTTTTTGCCACTTCATTATTTCATAAGTTTTTTCCTAATCAGATTTAGTGATTTGTTTATAATTGAGCAGTTCGTGTTGTTTTCCTATTGAAATAGTTTTTCGGTAAAAATGAATACAAATCTTTCAGCCTCACAAATCATGAAAAAATCGACGATTGATACTTTGATGAATATCGATTTATTTCAAAATGATTTAATGGCTATTGATCGGGAATTTTTACATAATATCAATTCGATTTTCAAAATATCAGATGAAAGAAAAACAAATGGTTTTCTATTTATGACCGAAAATGCTACATATGCTTATGGTTATGAAATATTTAATTGGCTATCGTTGTATCATGATCCAATACGACCAAAACGGATTAGCATTTTGGATGGAAAGAAAATTATTCAAGCTGATTCAGGTAACTCTTTTGTTGCCCTTCTAACAAATGATGGAATCGTATATATAGCTAGCAGTAATCCAAAATGGAAAACATACAATACTTTTCGATTGATTAGCACTGATAATCGTTTTAAAATGATAGCATGTGGATACGATCAAATATTGTTGTTACGACAAGATGGCAATGTTTTTGCTTTAGGACAAAATAATTTTTATCGATTTAATAAAGATCAAGCCAATGGTTATTACTCATATAATAGCGGATATGATAGACAGTTAGAGTCATCGTATGACACTGTCGTGGACACTGGTTTAACTAAGATCAAATTAATAGTTTGTGGATGGAAACATTATTTTGTTCTTACAGATACGAATCAAGTTTATTCCTGGGGCCAAAATGCTGATGGACAGTTGGGTCTTGGTGATAGATATGAACACAAAAAACCATCACTCGTTTCAATTTTTCGTGATAGTTCAATCAAAAATATTGTGGCCGGCTATAGTCATTCATTATTTTTGAATGCGAATGGCCAGATTTTTGGATGTGGTAATTGTAAATACAATATTAATCATTCAAATGATTATCATACTCAACCAATCAAAATACCCCTTGAAAATGTTCAAAATATTGTTTCGAAAAATTGTTACAAATTTTCATTGGCTATCGTTAAATCATTCGATTATTATGGATGGGGTGAAGTAGAAAATATTTGTCGATTATCAATAAGAAAATTGAATGGTCAACCAAAATCATTTGCTGCTGCATCAGCAATGATATTGGAATCACCAGTTACATTTGGTCTAACAACAGTAAATAATCAATTGGAATCAAAATATTCAATATCAAATATTCGATTATTCAATAATCCTGATAATTATGATGTTGAATTTGTTATCAATGATAAAAGTATATTTGCTAGTAAATGTTATCTTAGAATGGAATCAGAATATTTTTGCCGAATGTTTTCTGGTGATTGGAAGGAAAACAAACAGGTAACAATCGATGCTTATGGATATGATGCTTATTATGCTTATCTACATATGTTACATGTTGGTCAAATTAAAATCAATGAAAACAATTTATCGGAACTTATTGATTTGGCCAATTGTTATGGTGATAAACGATTAATGAAATATTGTTTAATATTTTTACGAAATGATCTTAATGAGGAAACTTTGTTCACTTATTTTCCATTGATTGTCCATTATGAACTGAATGAAATGTATGACAAACTTTCAGAGATAACTATACAAAAAATTTTACCAAAAATTTCTAAAAATCTTTCCGGAAATCGAATAAATCTTAACAAATTTCTTGAATGGCTTTCTCAAGAAAGATCATTGGTTTGAAATAGATTTGTATATTTCAAAATTTATTTTTAAAAAAAAAATCTTTGTCGGAATAAAATATTTTAAATTTTCTATCAATCAAATTTATCGATTTTTTTAATCAAGTTTTTTTTGTTTTGTTTATTTTGTAATAATCATTTATAAAATTTGAAATAAAACATTTTAAATTTTGTCTATGAAAGGGTTATTTCAAACAAAGTTATTGTATTTATTTTTTTTTTGCACTCAAAAATCAAAGTGTAGTTGTAAATTATGAAGGAATTTTTCCGAGTGTATGAATGTAGTTAATAACATGCGAAACAAATGAATCGCATTGATTCAAAAGACATTATCATGGCCTTAATATTTTGTTGTTGTTGTTGTTTGTAATTGATCATTATTATGTATATGATTATCGATTGGCATTGTTTGAACCTAAAAGATAGATTAGAAATTATAATAAAAAGAATTGTCATCATTAATTTCTTATATAACAAAGTTTCGAATTGTTCAAATCGATCGTGTTACACCGAAGAAGAACGACTGTTGTGAACGACGGTTTGATGATCGATTCAAATTCGATAAACAAAAAGATAATTTTTGTTGTTGTTGTTGTTGATATCATTTTTTTGATTCTGGAGCAATAATAGCGAAACAATGACAAAAAAGTCATTTCAATCAGATTCTTTGACTAAGTTGAACACACGTTGCTTAAAAAATGATGTCAATAATACCAGAATCGTTAAAAAATATTCGTTTCGTAAAAATATTTCAACGTGGTTTTAGTTATTTAAAATTTTTTACATTTAGATTGGAATTTACAATTGAAGATTATCTGAATAAAAAAATACCATCAACATGGAAAACATTTGGACGAACTATTATGATTACATCAATGACATGGACAACTATATTTTGTCTTGGATGGTTGACATTGTTTCCAGAAAATCATCCATTTATGAGTTATCGTAATTTTGAAACAATATTAAAAACTGATCGTATGGATTTATTTATATTAGCATTATTTGTAATGTTAATCATATTGGAAATAATGTTTATAAATTTATCAAAAAATGTTTTAAATTATCGTTCATATTTTGTTAAATTTATTGTTGATAATCAATGTTATGATGAAAATGAATTATCAAAAAAAGGAATTGAATTTTTAAGAAAATTCTATAATATTGTTTATTCAACAGGAACGATTGGTTTCTGTTTATATATTATCAATGGTATATCTACAATTGGTTTTGGATATTATTGGGCATTTAAATTATATGAAAAAAATCTAACAACAACAAATGAAATGATTATAAGTTTACCAACATTTGCTTTGATTTGTACTGATATAGCCTATCATATTGGACATATGTTTATGACTTTTTTAGCATTTATTATATTTGTTATTGAATTATTTCAAATAAAATTAGAAGAATTATTTAAACTTTCAAAAAAAATGTTCAGTCGTCGATGGTATAAAAGTGGATTGAAAAAAATATTTTGGAATCAATTTCAATATAAATATGTAAAACTTTATGCTGAAATTGCTAATTTTAATCAATCATTTGGTATAGTGCTTATGTATATTGAAACAATATCAAAATCATCAATTATAATATCATGTATGTTTTATAGTAAACAAAAAGAGATAAGTCAATATTGTATAATGGCAATTTTATCATTAATGTCAACATTTGTTTGTGTAACAAGTCTTTATTCACGTGTATCAAGATTACCAACATATAATCGTCTTTGTTGTAAATCAATATTGAAATGGTTAGCACGAACACAATGGTCATCATCATCATCATCAGATAAAATATTTAATAATAATAATTTTAAAATAATAAATAGAATTAAATTTATAGAAAGAACACCAATCAAATCAAATCTATTTGTACAAATTATGAATGAAAATCAACTTGGCTTTACATGTGGTCATTTATTTTTCATTACTAAATATAAATATAATGAATTAGTTTTAATGAACATACCATTGATAATAATGTTTTATGAACAAATTTGTATGAATACATCATTATAAAAAAAACTATTTACAAAATATTTTTTTAATAATCTAAATTGGCATAATTCATTTGGTTTTAATTAAAAATTAATCTGATGACAATATCTAAATTCTTTGAATAAATTATTGTCATAACAACCTTATTAAGTTTGATTTTAGCTTTCTTTTTTTTCAGTTTGTTTGTTTGTTTGTATTCCAGGTATTTTAAAGGTAAAAAAATGAAACAAAAAAACTTTAACCAAATATTTACCGTTTATACACTGAGAAACATTCAACAACAACCAAAATGCTGCTGCGTAATTTTCAGCGTGTACACTGTTTTTTTTTTTTTTTTTGGACTGACATGAAATCCATTTCCACTCAAGTATGATGATTTCCATTTTGTATTGTTTACAACGTTTGATGAATATTTTGCTTAATTATTTTTTTGTTTCTGTTGATGGAATCGAATTTTTTACTGAGAATAAAACAATGGTAAATTCGCCTGATACATGTGTTGATATTGAATTATTTCAAGATGATTTTCATCTTATCGATAGTGAATTTATCCGAAAAATTGTATCGATTTTTTTTGATCAGGATTATGGTTATCTTTGTATGACCAATGATGCAACATATGCTTTTGGCGAAGACATATGTTCATGGTTATCGTTAATACATGATCCGACACAACCAAAACGGATTAACAATTTGAATAGAAAGAAGATTATTCAAGTGGTTTCGGGCAATTTTTTCGTTGCTATTTTAACTTGTGATGGGAAAGTTTATCTGGCCAGTGGAAATTCTAATTGGAAAACGAACAATACTCTCCGATTAATCTCTACTGGTGATGATTGTTATAAAATGATAGCATGTGGATACAACCATTTGTTGATGTTACGCCAAGATGGTAATGTTTTTGCCATAGGTGATAATGAATTTGGCCAAATAACCGGAAGTTTAGCATTATCATATGAAACTTTGATCGACACTGGTTTGGGAAATATTAAATTAATTACTTCTGGATGGGATCATTGTCTTGTCCTCACGAATTCCAATAAACTGTATTCATGGGGCCATAATTCGAATGGGCAATTAGGTCTTGGTGATAAAATTGACCGTAGAATGCCATCACTCGTTTCATTTAAAAATGATTTGATTAACAATCCGATCAGAAGTATCGCGGCCGGTGCATTTCATTCATTATTTTCACTCAAGGATGGTCAGATTTTTGGATTTGGGTATCAAGCCGGTATCAGTATCGATGAAACTGTACCAAAAAAAATACCTCTTGAAAATGTGCAAAACGTTACATGTAAAAATAATCTCGATTTTTCATTGGCTTTCGTTGATTCATCACAGTATTATGTTTGGGGTAAAGATGAGAATAGCTTCTGGTCACAACCTCAAAAATTGAATGGTCAATTGAAATCATTTGCTGATGCATCAGCAATGATATTCAAATACCCAATGACATATGGTTTAACATCAACAATTGATGTGTTCGAATCAAATTGTCCATTATTGAACAGATCAATCAACCAATTATTAAATAATCCGAAAAATTATGATTTTGAATTTATTATCGGTGATAAACGTATAAAGACATGTAAATCATTTCTAAAATCGGCATCTACATATTTTTTACGTATGTTTTTTCGTAATTGGCGCCACAAAGATAGTGTAACCATCGAATATTATTCCTATGATATTTTTTATTCTTATATTCGAATGTTACATGATGGCTATATTCGAATCGATATAAACAATATTGCCGAATTAATTGATTTGGCACATTTTTACGATGATAAACAATTGATGGAATATTGTCAAACATTTATTCATAAAAATCTTACTCAACATTCGATCAATTCACTTATTCCATTGATAATCAATTATAAATTGGATGGATTCAATGATGATCTTTATCATTTTATAGCCGAAAAAACTTTGCCAAAATTTTGTAACAATTTACAGATGGCCGATGAAAATACTATAAATCATTTTCTTAATTGGTTCTATTATGAACAAACATTTTTTTAAATAACAAAATCCAGATTCCTTTGAAATAATCAATTGTTTTTTTCTGAATTGAACTATATATTTTTAAACAATCAAATAATTTACAAAATTTTCTTCATTTTGGTCATGTATTCAATGAAAGGTCCATTGTTATGTGTTTCGTCAGGAAAAAAAGATGCTCAAATTCGTTAGTTTTTCTTTTCCAACGTTATTCTTTACTTGGAAATTGAAAATTTTTTTTCATTCAATTTCGATTTGCCTTGAAAAAAAACAACAAAATGGAAAGATCATCCGATACTATTATTGATATTGATTTGTTTAATAAAATTTTCAATTCATTTGAAAAAGAATTTCTTCAAACTATTGTTTCGATTGCTAATCTTTTTGGTGAATGTCAAGAATTTATTCTTATGACAAAAAATTCTACATTTGTTTATGGACAACAAATATGTACATGGTTATCATTGAATCATGAACAACAACGACCACAAATGATTACATGTTTAAATGGTAAAAAAATTATTCAAGTTGATTCGGGCAGTGATTTTGTTGCCATTTTAACTAGTGATGGTCAAGTTTATCTGGCAAGTGGAAATTCAGTTTGGCAAACGAACAATACTTTTCGTTTAATTTCTACCGATAATGATCGTTTTCATATGATTGCCTCTGGTGCTAATCATTTATTATTGTTACGACGTGATGGTCATCTTTTTGCCATAGGTGATAATGAATTTGGTCAAATAACCGGAGAATTGAAATCATCTTATGAAACTATGATTGACGCTGGTTTGTGTAATATAAAATTAATTACTTCTGGATGGCAACATTGTCATGCTTTAACCAGATCAGGACGATTATATTCCTGGGGCCGTAATGAAAACGGACAATTAGGTATTGGTAATTTAGAAAATCAAAAACAACCACATATCGTTAGATTTTCGAATAATTTTATCAAAACAAATCGATTGAAAAATATTGTTTCGGCTCTTGGACATTCATTATTTTTATTTGAAAATGGTGAAATTTTTTCTTGTGGCTACAATAAACATGGCCAACTTGGTCTTGGTGATAATGATAATCGATCCAAATCAGAAAAAATATCTATAGAATCAGTAAAAAAAGTTGTTTGTTCAAAATTTCATGAATTTTCTATCGCATTAACTAAATCATCCGATTATTTTATATGGGGTCGAAAAATTAATGAAGATTATTATGAAATTCCTACAAGTTTGAATAAAAAACCAATTTCATTTGCACAAGCATCAGCATCAATATTACCATTACCATTAACATTTGGTTTAACATCGGTTATCTATTTATGTACACCAAAACGTTTATCAACAAAATCATCGATACAAGAATCAATTATTTGTTTATTCGATAATCCAGATAATTATAATGTAGAATTTGTTATTGGTAATAAATTCATTCGTGCATGTAAACATTATCTGAAATCAATATCCGATTATTATTGTCGTATGTTTTCGGGTGATTGGCGTGAAAATAATCGTGTCATAATCGATGCTTATAGCTATGATACTTATTATGCATATTTATCAATGTTACATAATGGTGGTTTTATTGAAATCAATGAAAAAATTATTGCCGAATTAATTGATTTAGGTAATTGTTATGGTGATCAACAATTATTACAATATTGTCGTACATTTATATATGAAAAATTGAATAATTCAACTATCGAATTATATCAACCATTAATAACAAAATATGAAATGATTGAATTTGATGTACTTATTCGTGAAATAACATTCAATAGAATATTAACTAAAATCAATGATAGTATTAAAAATAAGGATATAAATTTTACTAGAAAATTTCTTCATTGGTTTTATAATGAACAAACATTTTTTTAAATATAATTGATTTTTTTTTTAATTAAATATAAATAAAAATTTATAATAACATTTTTTTTCCGGTCCATTGCATTGCGTACAATATTTAATTTAAAAATAATCATTCATTCATGAAACGGGGTATGAAACGAATATTGATGGATGATTTTGGTGCTAAAACTATTGAAGGTTCTATGGCAACATTACCAACATTTTCACCGGATTCTATACGATATTTGGATAATAAAGTAGCTAATATGACTTTTTCTTCTTGTAAAGCAAATTTTTGTCCAATACAATTTCGTGGTCCGGCTGAAAATGGTACAAATGCAAATGAATTCATACAGCCAAAATAATGTTTAGAATCTTCGATAAAACGATCAGGTATGAAACGTTCTGGTTGTTGAAAATATTTTGGATCACGTTGAATTGAATAAAGCGACAATAATATTGATGTTCCTTTTGGTACCACCAGATTTGGTTCAATTTCTGTATCTTGATGTGCTTGACGTGATATAAATGGTATTGGTGGATATATTCGTAACGATTCTTTAATACATACTTCCAAAAATTTCATTTGTCGTAATTCATTTTGACTCCAATTAATCATTGTTTGATTATCATCATGATCACATTGTGAACGTATTTCATCAATTTCTTTATGGACACGATCCTGAATATCCGGGTGATTTCCTAATAAATGTAAAGCCCAAATCAAAGATGTCGCCGATGTATCATGACCTGCAAACATGAATAAATCAACTTCTGCACGAATATCTAATTCAGTAAAATTATTCGGATCTTTGAGATGTTGTTCGATCAATAAATCCATAAATGCTAAACGTCGTTTATGTTCGTTGGAGTTTAAGTCAGTTTTATGTTTTTTTCGATTTATAATCTCGATTTTACGTTGTTTAATCACATTCATTGTAAATTGATGGACTAAATTAATATCTTGACGATGTTTACGTCCTTCGGCAAATAAATTGAAATAAATGATATCGCATTGAAGCCACGGCACCAACATTCGTTTCAAACTTGTAGCTAAAACTCTATTCAATACATTTTATTATACAAATAAAATGCTAAGAATTTCTAACCTTGCAACTGCATCGATGTAATCATGATTTTTGCCGAGTTGTGATTCAATTTTTACTCCCATTGCAGTTTCCGAAATGATATCCAAAGTAGCACTCTCCATCAATGGCACAACATCAATATAATTACCACCCGCCTTTTTCTGGTGATCTTGAATCACTTGAGCTAAAATATTAGCCTGTTCATTCATTATCGGTAAGAATTGTTCAAGTATGTTGAAATGAAATGCCGGTGTTAACAATTTTCGTCGAGAACGCCATTTATTCGATGTCCTTATCAACAGACTTTCATTTAACCATGGTTTTAGTGCATCATACTGATTATCTTTATCGATAAAAATATCATTACTGGATAATATTTTCTTTGTGAAATAAATTGAAATTCAATCAATAATTATTAGATTAAAAATTTCATTGAACTAAAAACTTACTTCGGCAACATCAGCCTTAAAAATGACCACCATCGGTACGATTGATCGCCAAAAACAAAATGTTCTATCGAAAACTATTCTCGCACCAATTGTTAATTGAAAAAAATCTATTTAATAATATTTAAAAAAGACATAATGAATTTCAATGAAAATATTAAAGCAAAAAAAAAAAAAAAAATTTACTATCAAGAATTTTATCCATTGTCCAATTTTCGGTTAATAAAATATTCAAATTTCCTATTAAAATTCTTGAAAATGGAAAACGAATTCCGGGAAATTTATCAATCATCGATTTGAATCGTAACCATTGTTGAATATATTTTATTAATCGATACAATTAAAACCAAATGATTATGGAAATAATTCCATAACGTATGAATAAAAGAATAATTTTTTCATTGATCATTATTGTTGCCATCATTGTTGTTGTTTCAAATATTTTTTTATAAAATATTGTTTATTTTTAACAATTTGCAATTGATTTTAACATGTTCGCTCTATCGACGCTTGAGAAACAAGCAAAAAAAAAAATCTTAACCACAGTTCCTTGAATTTTTTCAACATTTAAAAACGACGAATTTATTAATCGCGTCGGTGGGCTCAAATTAAAGAACTATTATTAAAATCTGTTAAAAGAACCTGTTGAAATTCCGATTAATCAATCAATCAACCAATTTTTTTTTGGCAAGCTTCAACAAGTGGTTGAATTGTTTTGTCATGATTTCTGACACTGTTGTCATGATTTATGTTACTTTCTATAGAATTTCTACGTTTATATTTTCTAATGAATTATTTATTTAATCTTTTGTTAGCCTAGATGAATGGGAAAAAGCTTTTTTGATTCTATCGGTCAATAATGCCCCATGATATCTTAAGCAGTGTTATAATGAATAATTTATTTCAAAAAAAAAAATTAAAATAATAACAATGAATAATTTAAAATTAAACTTGAATTTGTCTAATGATAAAATCATTCGAACAACTAAGACCGGGTATCATTACGTTTGACGGTAATTTTCGTTGATTTCGATATTCAATACGTTCAACACGTTTACGTCGATTTTGAAATGGATTATGGTAAAAATAAAACAATGATAATGCAATTGTTTGATATAGTATAGCATTGATGGCTGTCATTATGATACTATGATAGTATTCTTCATCATGATTCAAACCGAATCTATACAACAGCACTTGAATTTCTCTATGACCACATCGACCGAAACCATATACTAAAAAATATATAGCTTGTATTTGATACCGGAAAAGATTGAAAGTCGTAATCAATTTGAATGCATAATGCGATATATTTGGAGTCAATATGCTGCTAATTGATAACAACAATACAGCTGGAATTGAAATGTAAAGTTTTAATGGATTGCTTCCAAACAAAATAGAAAGCGTATAGCTGGCACCTTGAAATGCAATCATTGGCAGTATGATGATCATTATCATATAATACCATACATGACTTCGAACTGGATAATAAATGTCGACAACAATCGGATATAATACGATAACGGGCAAAGCAATGAGCATCTCGCATACTGCTTTCGATAGATAAAATGCACCGGAACTGTACCAACCTAGTGAAATCACAAAAATAAAATATATAAATATTATGAATCTAATCAAATTAACACTCAAATTACCATTTTGATGTTCGATTTTGAATAATTTTCGTTGTGACATGAACATTGTAGCAAAAAAGATACAAGTAATTATACCCAAACAATCTTGACAGTGATGTATATAGTGATTATTTAGCAAAAGATTCGTTCTATCGTCATTAGAACGATTACAGTTGGCGAAATCTTCATCCAAACTCATACAACCACTGAGAAAGACCATACTAATATTTGTCAAACCTTTCAATATAAAACCATTTAAAACGCTAAAGCACATGAACCAAAATATTAGAAATCGAGACATAGTATTTCCAATATAGAAATAGAACTGCCGTTGGATCAAGATGACGACAGATCTTAATGAAAATCGAGTACGATTAGCATTTGGACCATCTAAAACGTATTGAGTATCAGTCATTAAATGATTTTCGAGCTCTTTACTTATGATTGTTTGGTTTGTAGAATTAGAGAGCGTTTTAATTTGAGGATCTGAGTGATTCAAACAAGAATATTTCATAATTTCTTCGACTGCAAATTTTTCATCATTATTGTCGTGATCAGTAGAAACTTGCTGAAGATGATCACTGATTTGCGATGGTGGTCCAGAGAAGATGCAAACACCACCTCTGGAAAGAATGTAGATCTGATCGAATAACATGAGCATTTCAGTATTCGGTTGATGGATAGCTGCCACTATAGTGATGTTGTGTTTATGTGACATTTTTCGCAGACAGGAGATGATCACTTCGGCCGAGTTCGAGTCCAGTCCGCTAGTCGGTTCATCAATGCAAATGAAATTGGGCATTCTTAGCGACATCAGTTCCAAAGCCAATGCTAATCGTTTTCGTTGTCCACCAGAACATTTATTGACAAGTGTGTCAGCCGNAACATTGACAAAGCATTATTTTTATGATCGATGCTTTCGCCAAGGTTTTTCAGCTTGCTTGCGTAGATAAGACTCTGTTGGGCTGTCAAACCTGGAGTCAAATGAGACGAAATTTCTTGCGTTATGTAACAGGTTCGCAATGGCGTGAACTTGCTGAGATAGAATTTAGTTTCACTACTCAATCGTGTTTTGTCCCTGCCGTTCAACACTTTGAGTAAAGAGGTTTTTCCAGCTCCCGACGTTCCCATCAGAGCATTCAATGTTCCAAAACGAAATTGACCATTCAGATTGCGCAATATGTACTTTGGTTCTTCAAGTTTCAAAGCAGATCGCAGCTCTAAATATGAACCAGAATTGAACAAACTCAATGATCGCCAAGCGATGATGATTTTATTTTTGGAGAATTTTTCAAATTCTGTTTCATCTTTAAGTTTCATTCGTTCATTTGATTGAATTAAAGTTTGGATTGATTTATTATTAGAGTTATCGTAATCGATTTTAATTAATTCGGTGATATTTGATGTTTTTGATAATTTCTTCGACGGAAATTTCCAGCTCTGAAACTCCGTCATCAATAAGAACAATGTCAATATTCGTAAAGCGATTGAATTGATTAAAATTTTATATAGATCGGTGTAGACAGTCTTCTGGTTGATTCCGTTATCGATCAACACTGAAGATATTTGATTTATTTCACATTGATCAATCCCATAGAATGCATTAATAAGCCCATTTCTTATTATTTTAGTGCCCAATATATCACTAATTATTTTACTTGATGGATTGACAATATAATTATATGGAAAAAAATAGCCATTATTAAAATCAAGTGGTGCGTATGCAATTCCAGCTATTGCAACAGCAACTTGAGAATATTTTGAAAATACGATACTAAATAATTGACCAACTGATTGTATATAGAAGAAAAACATCCACATAAAAAGAAAAAAATTAGCAAATCGATACCAATTAAAATAACCATCATCAATAAAAGTATGATCGATCAAGAAATATATCAATGTTGTCGTATGTAGAGCAAGAATTGTAAAATCTATTAATCGAACAATTACCACCGGCCAATAAGAAACGCCAACACTGTGCCAACCTAAATATCAATTCAAGTATATTGCGCTAAATTATTTTGAAAATCAAAAGGATTCATTCAAACTTACGGTTTCGATGTTCATTTTTGAATACTTTTATAAGTGAAGTGAATGTTAAACTGCTTACAGCACTGATGGTATAACCCATCAACATAATGATCATACATTGATAATAATTATAGAATTCAATTTGGAATGATTCCTCTAATTTTTCTTTACAAGTTTGATTATTTTCCGGTTCTGTGAAATCAATCGTTGAAACGCATGTATCTGGCTCGATAATATTTGGATCGTATGAATTCGAGTGAAAAAGACAGACAAAAGTCACCATTATTATTGTGAAGATTCGGGAATTGATTTGTTTGATGAATATCAATTGAAACATTCGTGCAAGTTGCAGTAGAAAATCTACGAATGAAAATAACTTATGATCAACAATGATTCCTTGCGGCAGATATTTCATTTTTGGTATTAATGGTTTTAATTCGTCTTGTTGTTGTGACCAAGTTGCTTCCGCTAATCGACGAACATTTTCATCACCAGTTCCTTGGCATGCGATGGCCAGATATTCTTCGATTGGTGGTTTGTTTCGATCATGAATTAATCCAATATGTTCTTCAAGATTTTGTGCTAACAATTTTGGCACTCCCGAATAAACGCAAACACCACCTTTGGCCAGAATGTAAAGTTTATCGAACATTTTGAGAATGTCCGAATTGGGCGAATGTATCGATGCCAGAATCGTTAATCGATTGTTTGGATCATCAGCTAACTTTCGTAAACAACGTACCATCAACAAAGCAGCATGACTATCCAATCCGGTTGTCGGTTCATCAACAAACAAAAATGTTGGTGATTTTAATGACATCAATTCTTGTGCAACAGCGATTCGTTTTTGTTCACCTCCACTGCAAAGATTGAATCTTCTATCCAAAACTTTCGGATCGAGCAATAATTGTTCAATAATATTGGCGATATGTTTATCCATTTCAAATCGATCATGTTTGTAACTGTTCTTGAATCGAAATGCATAGTATAATATTTCCCATACTGTCATCGATCCTATCATTGTTTCATGAACATGTTGTTGAACGTAACCGATTCGTGGTTTATCGTCTTCTTGCCGATTAATATAGATTTCAGAATCGGCTGAAAGTCCTGATCGATATGTACCATTCAAACAATTTAAAAGTGTACTTTTTCCAGCACCGCTTGGTCCAAGAAATCCGGTAAGACTATTATATTCAAGATGACCATTTAAACGTCGTAGAATAATTTTTTTACCTTTTAGCCAATTATTCACCTCATAACGAAGATTTTTCCAAACAATCGCAACATTATCATTATCTTTTTTATTGTTGAAATTTGATGAAAAAATTTCAACACTGTCTACTACAGAATTCATGATTGATCAATTTAAAATTATGTTGTAAAGATTTTTCACAGCACAACAAGGATTTATCATCATTTTCACATCAATCGTTTGTGAAGTTTAATTTTTTTCAAGGGAAAAAAATGAATATACGTTCGCACATATATTTCTATCTTATCAACACGTTCGCTACCGGAGGTTTGAAAAACACATAGAACCACAGCAAATAACGAACGCGATATTAATAAACACGAGGAGGTGAAGCATTTTTTTTACATGTAAATGAGTAGGACGAAATGTCGTTCCTTGAAGTTCTGCTGAAAAAAGTTCCGCTGAAAAAATGTCTGCAGAAAAAGTCAATGTGCGATGGGCGGCGTAGCCGCTCATCTTCCAGAATCTATAGATTACGTATACGGGCTGAAGCAAGTGTGCGTGCTGCTGGTCGAAGGGCGGCATCACACACTTGTATAAGATGAATATATAATCAGCATACTTTTCTTCAAACAACATTTTGTTTACAACAACTTTCATTACATATTCATTTATCTAAAACAAGTTTGAATTCAAAATCATCAATATTGATAGAATTGAAAAGGAAAAAAATTTCAACGTGATTATTTTCTATTTAATTTTGTACACACAATAATCTCCGACGATCTTCGTTAAAAATAAAAAGAAGAAAAAAAAAGCCAAAGCGTTAAGGGTATGCCATTCAATTGTAATCATATGCTTAAATCTTTTTTTTTCTTGGAAAACGGATTGATCGGTTGTTTTTTTCTATTCGCATTCAGTAATAATAACAACAAAATCATTCATTTAAAAAAATATCTTTATTGAATCCTTGAAAAATTGTGTGTAGTTTTTTATAATGAAAAGCAAAAATAATTTTTTTTTCAATAGAAAAAAAAGTCATCTGAATAAATTTGTGGTGATAAATATGTCAATAATTGATCATGATAAGAAATTTTTATTATTATCCTATATTTAATTCAAATAATCATTTAGTTTCAAAACGTATACGTGATATGAAACGAATATTGACAAATTTTGGTCGTAAAATTGATCAAATTATCAAAATTATCAATTAAAAATTTGGGTACAAAATTTTTAAAAAGGGTTAATTCTATGGAATTAGGATTTTGTTATCCGGAAAAAAAATTTATTCATTGAAAGAACAACAATTTAGATAATGATTTAAATGTATTTGCATATCATTCGATTATTGATAAGATTTTTCATTTTTTTGCTTACATAAGGAAAAATGAACAAAGATGAATTAAATAAAAATTTTCAATATTAACAATGAATAGAAAGTTTTTTACAGATTTTTTCACTCAATTCTATTAATCGTTCAACAGTTTTAGATTTAGGAAATTTTTCCAAAAAATCTTGACCATCATCACAACATTCGGATAATTCAGATTCAATAGGAATTGTTTGAAGTAAATCTATTTGAGCATAATCAGCTAATGATTGACCACCACCATGTGAAAATATTGGACTACATTCCTAAGTACCAAAAAAAAACAGGTGATATTTAAGGATAATTTCGGAAAAGAACCAACTTACCGAACAATGTTGACAAACATAGCCACTCATATTTTCAATCACACCAAGAATCGGAACATTTCCTTTTCGGCAAAATGTTATTTCACGACGTACATCACCAATAGCAACTGATTGTGGTGTAGTTACAAGTACGGCGTTTATTGTTGTTTTCGATGTCGATGATGATAATTTACGTAAACATTCTACAACACTGATATGTTCATCAGATGTACCAGGCGGTGAATCGATGATTAATATATCCAAATCTGACCAATCAACATCGGTAAGAAATTGATTGATCATTGCTGTTTTACGTGGTCCACGCCAAATAATAGCCGAATCTTGATCGTTCAACAAAAATCCAATTGACATGACACTCATTGGTTGCCGATTAGATTTTTCCAATTTGATCGGAATCCATCTACAGATCATTAATTGATTAGAATTTGAATCATAACATCGGGTTAAATGGACTTACCCATTCGTACCTTGTTTGACATCAGCATCCAATAAGCCTAACATACGTGGTATACTTGGTCCACAAATATCAATATCAAGTAGACCAATTTTCAAACCATATTGTTGTTGTAATGATAATGCTAATTGACATGAAACGGTACTTTTACCAACACCACCTTTACCCGATAAAACTAATAAAACATGTTTAACTTGCTCAATACCCATATTTCGATAATTTATTTGGCCGATGCACCAAAAAAAATCCAATCATATTTCACATTTTTTGTTTTTCAATGATTATTGGTCAATTCATAAAAGACGTTTTCGAAGAAAACGAAAATCGAACGAGAATTATAATTCGAACGTTCGTACGACGAACTTTGTATCTTTGAATCGGAAGCCATAAAAATCATCATCAACCATCATGATGATGATGTTGTTTGGATCGTAAAAAAAATTACGAACACAAGGTTATTATCATAATTATTATAGTTTGTAGCTAAAAGGTGTGTATTGGTGACGACTTCAAGAGAAGAATGATTGGCCACTTTTTTGTTTCAATTGTTATGCATGCATAATGATGATGACAATAAAGTTGTCGACTTTTAACCGTCATCATCATCATCATTATCATGATAAAGCCATGACCATTTTTTTTCTCGTGGTTATTGTCGTAATTAATATTGATAAGCACGTCGAGGACTTGATCTCTTTTTTTTCTGTTGTTGTTGTTCGTTGATATGATCCAAACTACGTTTTATCAATCAGTCTTTAAATTTTTTTTTTCAAACTTGTCACCGGGCCAACAACAAGTCTGTCTTTTACGATTATTATTTTTTTAAATTGTGATAATTCGAGTTCATTTGCATGGAGGCCAGACGAAAAAACTAACGAAAATTTCTTTTAATGGTGAGAATCCTTTTCCTGTTGAACACTTAAACAAAAAAAAAACAAAAAACTAAAATCATTATCATCAAATGGATATGAGGATGTTACTGAACCGCCACTACTACCACCACCACCACCACCACTAATATCCATTGATGACGTACACATAAGGGAGAAAGAGAGAGGTAACCAAAACAGTTAAAGAGGAAACAGTCTTACACATAATGATATACTACTACTACAATAACGGAAAGGCGGGCCTATTAAAAAAAACAACAACTAAATCGAATTGAATTGAGTTATGTGTGAATTGAGTTTACGTGGTTCGTTTTCTTTTTTGCCATTATCATCAACATCGTTTTTTTATTATTATTGCACATTGTGTTGTTTTGCATTTCATTCAAACTAAAATCTTTGTTATTCTTTATAGACGTATATTTATGACGACAACAACAAAAACGAACCTGCAGGATTAGCCACCATCAAACAACGACGACAACAACAACAATAATAATAATAATAACGGGCAATTAAATGAAATCCTGTACATTGCATTATCGACATTAAAAAAAAGAACAACAACACTTACTCATCATCATCATTATTGTGAATCATAATCGATCACCGAACATCTTTATTTGTTGTTTTTGGAACCAGAGCTGTTGCTGATACGTTCGTCGTTGTGGTGGATACAACCAATCAACAGTGGTTTTTGCCCTTTGATACCTTTAACTTCAATCTAATCATCATTTAATTAATTGGTCTCAGACCTGTGCACCCAAAAAAAACCGATATCCAACAAGTGAAAAAACATTCCACCAAACATCTTTTTGGCACTTTGGTTCCTGGAATTCTTCGAGTGAGTAATCCTATTTCACTAATAGCGTTCAACCTTTGACCTCTTAATTTTTTTTGTTGTTAGCTGGAATTGATCATTAATCAATCAATCAAAAAAAATGGCGAATATGTTAAATGTACAGGAGATCCGTCGTAACGTGATCAATGTAGTGAAAAATTATTCCGATGCACAGGTTAAAGTAAGAAAAGCAACATCAAATGAACCATGGGGACCATCAGCAACATTGATGGCCGAAATTGCTGATCTTACTTATAATGTTGTTGCATTTTCGGAAATAATGCAAATAATTTGGAAACGTTTAAATGATCATGGTAAAAATTGGCGTCATGTTTATAAAGCATTATTATTGTTGGAATATTTAATTAAAACTGGCTCGGAAAAAGTTGCCCAACAATGTCGTGACAATTTATTTGCCATCCAAACATTAAAAGATTTTCAATATGTTGAAGATAATAAAGATCAAGGTTTAAGCATACGTGAAAAAAGTAAATTATTAGTTAATTTACTTAAAGATGAAGAAAAATTAAAAGTCGAAAGATCAAGAGCATTGAAAGCAAAGGAAAGATTTTCACAATCAATGTCTTATATGGGTGAACGTAGTGGTGGTATAAGTGGTGATAATGCTGGTGGTGAACAAACTTTTCGGGCATCAACAAGTTTTCCCGAATCACTATCACAAAGTGAAGCTGCAGCTCGTGCTTTGAATTCAGAATTGGAATCAGCAAGACCACAAACTGCAGGTGAAGAAAAATTACAATTAGAATTAGCATTAGCAATGAGTAAGGAAGAAGCTGAACAAGAAGAACGCTTACGAAAAAATGATGATCTTCGGCTAAAATTAGCATTGGAAGAAAGTGAAAAAAATCGAATGAAATCTGGCGAAGCCGGTGGTGAATTTCCTCATAAATCAGCTGTTGATGAATTGCTTAGTCTTGCAACTGGTCCAAGTACTAGTTGTGATCCATGGTCTTCGACACCAACACCGGTGGCTACCACCACCAACACCGCATCTTTATCGCAGTCATCTACATTAGCTGCTGCCTCGTTGTTGCCTTCACCTCCGATCAATAACAAAAGTCATAGGATTACAAATCATCATCATAATCATAATGATCCTTGGTCAACACCACCACCGACCACTTCGAATTCAATGGATTTTGATGCAATCAAACCATCGTCGACCACCAGTTCGGCTTTTGATGATCCTTGGGCTGCGCCATCTTCGGCTGCTGTTCCATCGGCACCAATTATTGCTTCTAATGATCCGTGGTCATTAAATAGTACTACTGGTGATGGTACGAATGTAGCCCAAAATGATCCTTGGAATTTGTCTTCATCGGTCACAAATGATAAAAAATCATCATTCGAAGGTGAGGAATTGCTAATTGCATCTTGTTTTATGTGATAATTTTTTTTTGTTTTGATTATAAAGATGTGTTATCTGAACCAGTAAAACAATCGATGTCAAATGTTTCAACAAATCCGGTACGTCGTACTCCTGAAAGTTTTCTTGGTCCAAATTCTAACCTGGTTAATTTGGATGCATTGGTTAGCAGTAATAAAGTGCAGAATTGTAAGTTGGAAGACTATTGACCTTTGTATTTTGGTTTAATTGATTTTTGTTAATTCTATTTAATCTAGCTACATCACCGAACAACAATCCATTTGCATCGGTTTTACCACCACAACCCGTAATTAATCCATTTCAGGCTAATAAACCATCACAACCGACAATTAATGAATTACGTGCGCAAACACAACAAGGTGGTATGTTGATTGGTGGTTCATCACCTATTCTTATATCGTCGTCATCATTATCATCATCGCCACCATCGATGTTTCAACAGCAGGCCACACCATCATTGTATCCACAATTGCCCACATTATCATCATCATTGACAACGACCAACAGCAGCGGCATCAATGGCCAACAAAATTCTGTTTGGGGCAATTCTTCATCAGTCCAATCATCTGCCTTTACATTATCATCACCAAACAATCCGTTTGCAATGTGATTCACGATGTTTTCACCACCAATCAACCAATCTAATAACGAAAAACATACACCTTTCTCTTTCTCTTGTCAGGCATTTTTTTCCTTTTCTCTGCCCCTCCATTTTTTAGTTTGCATTTTTTTTCTACTAATTAATCAAAAATCGATTTGACCAGTGATTGATTGATCGACGATGACGAAGAGAGATCAAATATGTTGTTGTTCCTGATTGTAAATACTGAGGACAACTCAAGATTCTCTTTTTTTCTCTATTAATATCGATATTATGAATTTATTATTTAATTAATTAAAACAACAGACATACATCACTTACACACAACATTGACCCCTATGTATTACATCTGGAAACAACTTTTATTTGATTTTTTTTTTAAATTTTCATAATTTGGAAATAAATTCAATCTGGATATTTTCGTTTTGTAAACGTGAAACAATTTCTTCGGGTTCGAATGCAACTGCCGGTGTTATAACACCATAATGAACATTATCATTATGTTTTAATTTATCCAACAGTGCTAGAGCTGTTTGTACGGCAATTTTAGCCGTATCAATATAGGCTAAATCACCACCGGATATTGTGACAGCACTGGTTTGTGTCATTGTATCTTTGGTAAACGAAGTGGTATCTTTGGGCCAACCAGTACCGATTAATGTAAATTTAAATCGATTTGATTCAAGTGCTTTACGATCGGGTAATCGATTACGTTCAAATGTACCGAATGATAACAGACTTGAATGTTGAAGCAATAATTTTTCACCTTTTTCAAAACGACTTAAAAATTTAAGATTATAATTCATAGCAACCAATTTGACAATATCGATAGGATTATCTAGAGAAAAATAAACTTCACATTGTGAAGGTAATTCATCATGCTCAGTGAAACGTTGCATTTGACTACGTATAACAACTGAACGATCACTACCCGGGAATGGAATACAATAACCAAATTGTGGATGTCGATAAAACATTTGTCGTTTCAATTGAACAGGCCATGAAAATTTACGATATTGGCGGAATAATTCTTCACGCATTGAACGAAGTTGATCACGATATTTAAAACCTTCAACTAATGCACGCCATGTTGCATAATTAAATTTACGACCATCCGTATGTAATTGTAGATAATGTTCGGCATGATTTAAACGTCCCGAAAATTGTTGTTTCAAATATGAAAGACCAATATCCGATGGTATTGAATCAAAACCACATGAACCAACTGCACATAATCGACGATCACGTGCTAAACGATCATAACGGAGATGCATTTTTTCCAAAAACAATGGTTCACCACTTAGATCCATATAATGAGCGTCTTGAAAATTGGAATCAAAAGTCAGGTTATTTGGACCAAACAAAAATTTGAATCAAACTTACCTGAATCTAAACATGCTTTTAAAACAGGTTCACCCAACAGACTATACGGGCCAACACAATTCATTACTAATTTACTACGAGCAAAAACATCACGTAATGATTGTTCCGATTCAATATCGGTTTGAAATATATCCAATTTATGAGCAAATTTTCTGCCCAAATATTGTTCAGTATCATCAAGATATTTTCGTAATTGATTAATATTACGTGCAGCAACAGCCCAACGAAAATCTTTTAAACCATAATTTTGGATTGTTTGAACTAAACGTTCAACAACAAAACGTCCAGTAAATCCAGTTGCACCAAATATAAGTAAATCAAATTGTTTGGTCATTGTATATGATATGTTTTATTTAATAAAATCAAGATATTTTCAATGAAAGGGTACAAACAACAAATGAAAAAAATTTAAAAAGTTTAATTTTAAAATTAGAAAAAAAAACTTGATGTACTCGATGTATACATCAAAGTATGAACTTTGTTTTGTTTATAAACAAAACCAAAAACACACAACACAGCCCATTGACACAGAGATAAGTTATGTAAGTCGATATGAACAGATGTTGTTTATAAATTGATTAAAACTTTCTATAAAAAACTAGATGCATCATCAACAATCAAACGATGAAATGAACTAATCAATTGTTCAGTTTCCGTATGATCAATTATCAATGATAATGTTGTTGTCGAACCATCATTTAATCGCGGTTTATTATTTTTAGTTGGTGTTCGTTTTGGTTTAAATGGACTTGATGTTCCTGTTGATGTTTCTGAACGTTTTGCTGTATTTACTTTTACAAAACCATAATCACTTAAATATTGACACATATTTAATATATCGGATTCGGATTTACCTTCAGTACTAATCGAACGACGTCGACATATTTTAATTATTGTTTCACGTAATTCAGATAGACGTATTTCACGTAATGAACGTGTTTTAAGTAAAACAAGAAATGCAGTCAATATAACCTGTTGATCGGATGGTAAAAAGTTACGAGCACCACCAGTAGTATTAGTAGTAGGTGAATCAATTTTATCGATAGCGTTACCATAAACTTTGTTCAAAACGTTCATCATAAGATTTACGGTTACCGGTTCGTTTTTGTTTACGGTATTTTCACGTGAACGTAATGGTGACATTACGGTTTTCGGTTTAGGACTGCGACTATTGTTGTTATTGCTACAACATGAATCATTATCGATAAGTTCGCAAGCACGACGACAAACATCCAATGCTTTACGAATATCACCACTTGATGATGCAATTTTTCGTGCACAAAATTCTACTGCCGACCGATCAATAAGTGGTTTGTTTTCATCTTGTAATTCTCGTAATCGATTTTCAATTATCTTAACAATTTGTTCTTTACGATATGGTAAAAAACGAATTTCATGAAAATTATTATCATTACCGAATTTTAACCAGGACATTGTTTTGGTAGTAAAATCTAATGCATTTGCAATACCAATCAAAATGACACGATCTGGTAATTGTAATGGTAGCCGAAAAATACTATTTAAAACATTTTGATTTTTTGTTTGTAATTGATCAATTTCATCGAAAACAAATATGGTCATCATTGATGATGATGATTGACTATTTATCAATGTTTTTAATTCTTCTAAATTTGGATTCGATGCATTCGAAGATAAGGTGTTAACATTGTTGGTGGTGGCAGATCGTTTTGGTCGTCGTGGTTCAAAATGAGCCATTATTGATGAATAAAAATCGTTTGCATTTTGAAATGACATACAATTTATCGATATAAATTTGAAATGATTTTTCCATTTCGGTGATGATTGTAATTCTTCAATAACTGTAGTGGTTGTCAATGTTTTACCCGTACCAGCTGGACCAGAAATATAAACTGTTAATGATGTTCTTGATGATAATCCTTGATCAATTAATTTGAATAATTTTTGATATTCATCATCACGGCCAACTAATCGATCAATATTCGATGTACTTGACATTGTTGTTTTTAAATTCGGAATTTTTTTCGATTTCAATTCGGGATGCTGTTGTTCGGTCAATTTTGCCAATTTTGATTGTTGTTGCATCCTTTGATAGGATCGTTTTGATGGTGATGATCTTGTCATTTTTGTTTTTTTTAATTAAAGAAAATTTAAAGTTCAAATTTAAAAAGAAACGAAGAAACCAAGACTTTAAACTTTAAAATGCTGCTTTTCCACTGCTCACACAAGCTCAGAACATGATTGGCGGGCTTTTTTTGCGCCAAAGCAGTCAAGCAAACGCGCGCGCGCTCGTGCTTTTCGATAGATGGAGAAGGACGACTTGACTATCGATTGTTTTTCGATTCGGATTGTGATTTGAAAAAAGATTTTATTTAAAAAACAAAATTTTTAAAAATTTTTGTTTCATTTATTTCTTGAGAAAAAACGTTGCAATCGAACCGTACATTCATCGGAAAGAAAATGTTGTAAAAGTAATTCACATTCACGTTTGTTAGCTTGATGAAGTTCGTTACGAATCTGATTGTTTCGAACCAATGATTTTGCATTTATCATTGAATTAGCATAACATGTTTTTACTAATCCTTGTTCACCATAAATCCATTGTTCCAAATGATTATCCCATTGATCAGTTGGTATGATTCGTGATACAAAACCTAAACGATATGCATCATTCACATTAAGTTGATGATTAAAATAAAGTAATTCCGATGCAAGTGATGGACCAAATATTCGTGGAAATGTATATGTTGAACAACCTTCCGGAGATATAGCTAACGAACTAAATGGACTAATGAAATATGATCGATCCGATGCTATCAAACAATCGAATAAACCTAAAATAGTGAACATTATACCGAACGAAGGACCATTGACAGCTGCAATCAAAGGTTTTGGAAAATCAATAACCGTTCCAACAAATTCTTGACATGATTTAACCATATATTTCATCAATTCAGTTCGTTCCATATCGGTTCTCGAAAAATTTTCTGTTTTTTTTTATTGATTGATTTATTGATTCGATTGTTTGATTTGGACAAATACCTACTTACTTAGATCATTACCACTTGAAAAATATGGCCCATTTCCGGTCAAAACAACCAATTTAACTTGGTCATTTTTAGCAATTTGTTGTAAAGTTTTTGCTATTCGATCATACAATTCTAAGGATATGGCATTATATTGTTTAGTACGATTCAGACGTATCCAATAAACTTGATCACGTTGTTCTAGTTGAAGATCTGATTGGATATCGGATTTATATCGTTGTTGAACACATCGAAACCAAGGATTTCGTGTGACAATTTTAATCGATGAACGATGAACATGTCTAAACATGATCGTTGAATTTTATGAATGGGTACATTTGACGATCGTTTTTCTCGAATGATAACATTGATTGATTTTTGTTTTTTTTTTCGAATCACAATGATATAGATTTTATGGATGGCTCCTTGATTATGCAGCTGGCCATGATTTTTGGTTTTGTTTTTCTGAAAACCTGGCGCTAAAACTAAAATTAATCAATTTGATTGATTGAAATCCGCAGCAACAACAATGGACGATGAAGATGGTAAATCATATCGTTGGGAAACTGAATATGAAAAAACCTGGGAAGTAATTAAAGAAGATGATCATGGTCGTATTCAAAGTTCGGTTGATGAAATGCTTTATAAAGCAATTCGTAAACGTACATTGAATAAAAAAAATGTTCGTCTTGGTCTGGTAAGTTTGATTGAACAATTAATTGATTGATTGCTAACTATTCGATTATCATTATTAGATGCGACATCTAGCCATCATTATCGATATGTCATCGGCAATGAATCAAATTGATTTGAAACCAAATCGATTTATCTGTTGTGTTCGATTATTGGAAAAATTTGTTCAGGATTTTGTTGATCAAAATCCAATCAGTCAATTATGTTTTATTAGTACCCGAAATAAACGAGCCGAAAAAGTGTCCGAATTGAGTGGAAATCTTCGAACACATTTTGATGCATTAAATTCATTGAAAGCTAATGCTAATTGCGCTGGTGAAACATCAATGCAAAATGCATTACAAATAGCACATTCAATGTTAAGATATATGCCACCACATACAAGTAAAGAAATTCTATTCATAATGGGCAGTTTAACTAGCTGTGATCCTTCAGATATTCATAAAACAATCGATTCATTGGCCAAAGATAATATTCGATGTTCGGTTATCGGATTGTCGGCTGAAGTTTATATCTGTAAAGAATTAACAACAAAAACAAATGGTGTTTATAATGTTGCAATGGAAGAAACTCATCTGAAAGATTTATTATTTCAATATTTAAATCCATTACCATCATCATTTACTGAATCAACATTGATGAAAATTGGTTTTCCTAAATTCGAAATGAATACTGTACCATCGATTTGTGTTTGTCATTTGGACGATGGTGATGAACCTAAATTAACTGTTTCTGGATATTTTTGTCGTCAATGTAATTCAAAATATTGTGATCTACCTGTCGAATGTAAAATTTGTGGACTAACATTATTATCATCATCACATTTAGCACGTAGTTATCATCATTTATTTCCTGTTGAACCATTTAGTGAATTATTATCATCAGATTCCATTGATATTGGTAATGTTAATGATGGTAAATGTTTTGGTTGTCTAAAACAATTCGGTGGTAAATCGGCAACATTATGTAATCTATGTGGACAAACATTTTGTGTTGATTGTGATCTATTCATTCATGATATATCACATGTTTGTCCTGGTTGTACATCTATTCGACGAATATAATAATGAAGATATGTTAATCGTTGAAATTGAGATTTTATTTTATTTTTTTAAAATAAATAAATGATAATGATATATGTCAAATGATTGATTGGTTGAAATGAAATGTACATGATAAATGGTCGCAATCTAATCGTATTCACTATTTGGTTAAACAATTTTTTGGTGGGGGGGAAATGTCTGTGTGTTATACATTTGTTTGTTTGTTTGAATTTGAAATTTTGTTATTTTTACGATTGTTTTTATTACTACTGCGATTACTGCCGTTTGTATGAAATTTACATAAATTTTCTGCAATATTTGTTAATTGTTGTTCATGATTCAATAATATTGATGAATTGTTGGATGTAGCTGCAGTAGTTGATGATGATGCGGATGCGGATGTTGATGATCGCATTATATAATCAGTCAATGCAACAATATAATTTTTAGCCAATGTTAATGTTTCAATTTTAGATAATTTTCTTTCTTTACTTATATGTGGTATTACTTCACGTAAACTTTGAAATGCATCATTTAGACTATGCATTCGAATACGTTCACGTTCATTACTTTCTAATCGTCGTAGATTTCGTTCTTTGGATGTATTTGTTGTTGCGTTTGCGGTTTCGTTTGTAATTTCGTTTGCGGTTGTCGTCGAATTCTTCTGGAAAAAAACACAAATTTTTAAACTTTGCGTTTTTAGTTTAATTTCAACAAAAAAAAATTACCATTTTTCTTCTATCATTACGTTGTCGTCGGCGTATTGATCGCATGTTATTGCGTTTTCTTTTAATCGGATGATGATTATTATCGGCACAATTATCATCCGAACAGGAAGAAGTACGTTGTCGTTGTCGCCGTCTTCGTCGTTGCCGCTTTTGTTGTTGTTCCGAACCAGAACGATCATCATTATCATCATCATCATCATTCAGATTTAGATTATTTGTCGCAATGGAAAATTTACCACTGTTGATGGAAGCGGTGTTGGTGGTGGATTTACTTGATGATGATGTGGATATCGAACCAATAGACGATTCATTATCGCTGTTCAACATTCGGATCGATCAACATTCGAAAAATATATGTTTTTTTCTTCACCGGTTTTTGATTTTGTTTTTAAAAATAAATTCGATTCTTTTAAATCACTGGTGGATCTTACGACGGAATTCAAATGCAAACAACACTATCTACGTGGCGTCATAAAAATTCATTGAAATCTATCGAATTTTTAGCTGGCTACTATTTGTTTCAATATTGGCCTGCTGTTGCGCCAAATTTGATGAGTTGGAACTCTCTTTCGCTCTCTCTCCTCTATGTATGTATTTGTTTCGGATTCTGTTCGGATGTGCGCCAAAACCAAGATGCATTGGTGAGATTAGGCACTGTATATTCCACCGGTATGTTTTGTGGTTGCACACAGACACAGACACACACCAATTGGATGCTCTATATTTACCCAATATTTGACCAGCATGTTGATCCAGAAAAAGATCGTTCAAGATAAACAAACAAATTGTATTTTTAATAAATTCTATATATCGTATTTATTTTGGGGAAATTTTCTGGGAAACAATTTTTTTTTCATTCACCAACACTTGATAAATTATTTTCAATTAAATCTTTATCATTTTTATCATCAATATCATTATCATCGTTTGATGATGATTTTTGGATCGGATTATTTAATGCTGTTGTTGTTGCAGTTGCCGCTGTTGCAGTTGTTGTACGTTTTCGTTGCTGTTGCGATTGTTGTTTTTGTTGCTGTGGATGATGATTCGTACGATTAGCCATAACTTGACTATTTTCCAATTGTAATTGAGCATTTATATCTTTACCCGATGCACAGGTAAATGCTTTGGCAAAACTTTTTTTAAAATTTTCGCTTAAAAATGCTTTTATAAAGGAAGGAAGGAAAACAAAAATCAATCATTTTTCCATTCAAACATTTTCTCAAAAAACACTTACCATAAAGAATTGGATTTGCAGCTAAAAACGTACCGAAAAAAAACGATAGAAAATTAGCTTTGAATATCAATTCATTGGAGAGAATTACTTACCTGAATTAGCATAGGTAAGACAACCAGCTAATAAATTGAATATAAATGCAAATTGACTTTTACCAGTTGCAATAAATGTTATATAAAATTGTCCAATCCAATATGGCAAACAACAAAGAACATAAACCGAAATGACAGTCAAAACCAGATACGTAACTTTACGATGTGATTTTTTTTTCTCTTTTGATTTTTTTTTCGGTCCAACATGACGTAAACGACAAATGACCAATATATAGAACAGGAATATCAATACGAATGGAATGAAAAATCCCAAGAAAAATGAATATAATGTAAATGTTCGTGCACCTTTCATTTGATCACTTTCAGGCCAGATAATATTACAGGTAACTGTTGTTTCAGATTCCATTGTATTACCATACATAAATATTGGTACCATTAACAGAGCTGATATCTATAGGGATGGATGCGATCAGATGAAAGATTCATCATTATCAAGATCAAGATCAAAATATACTTACAGTCCATACTGTTAGACAAACAAATTTAGCAATAAACGATGTACGAAAACGTGGTGCATCAATCGGATGACAAACAGCAACATAACGATCAGCACTCATTACAGTCAACAATAAACTACTAGTAAATTGATTGATCGATGTAAATGTCATATAAATTTTACAAAGTATACGACCAAACATCCAATATTTAACAAAAAATGTTGTAATTAAAAATACTAAGCCAATTAAAAACATTTCATCAGCAATTGCTAGATTAAATATATACATATTTGTAACGGTTTGCATTTTTGAAAAACGTAATACAACATAAATAACTAATGAATTGCCAAAAAAACCAATTAAAAATACTAAACAATATAGAATGATGAATATAAACAAAATGATTTCATTTGTTGAACGATTTGAATGTTGTTGTTGTGTCGATGTCGATGATGTTGATAATGTTGATGATGGTGGTGATATTATTGATGATAATGGTGATTCAAAATCCGATGATTCAGAATCAGAAAATTGTCGTCGACAATAATCCAATAGGAATTCATTTTTCAATAATAATTCTAATGAATTACTGTTGCTGTTGTTGTTGGCAAATAATGATGAAAATCCTAAATTTTCAGGTAAATCCATTGTTTGATTTGATTGAATTGGTTGTCCGAAAAAAAGATTAATTCATTTCGTCGTTGTTGTTAATGTTTGTCACTCAATCGAATTACTCAAATTCTTTATCAACACTTCTTTTCTTTTGTTGTTGGTCGCATCTTTCCTTATCATAAGACCATTGATCATTTACCGAATTGATGCTATATAAATACAATGTCGTTCCAAATTTTCTTTCATTCAGTTCCAAATGTCAATTCCAATCACACAATATCCTGCACAAAAAAAACTGAGTAGTAGTTTTTTCCAGAATGCAGAGACAACGACGATTCATTTTAATATATAGCAGCCTCTAAACGAGACTGTATTTTGGGCTATAGTAGCCCGAAAAAAAAACAACGAAAACGCTAAGAAAAGAAATTTTTTTCCAATGATAAATTGCATTTAACTTTTTTTCCTGTTTCTCAAAAAAATTGAATTTTATTTAGTTTTGTAAATTGAAATGGTGGTTGAGTGTTATTCAAATAAAAAATGATTAGTTTTCATTCCTGTACATAGAGATAGAAAGAATCAATGATGCACCACCACCACCAAATAGAATGGAATTTTGAAATGAAATGAATAGAGTAGAAAAATGCTATATTCTATGGCTTAAATGATGATAATTCAATGATAATACTGATGATGGTCAAATGTGTGGCCAACATACAACGATTCCGTATCACAATTCTTTCTTTGTTGGCTTTTTTTCAAATAAATGTTTGGTCAGATGATAATGATAGCACTGGTTTAAAAGATGACTAGATGAGTATCTTGTTGGATGATATAAATGAATGGAAAATGATTATTTCTCTAGAAATGAACTTGGTTGTGGCCTAATACTAAATTGTTTTAATGTTGAATCTAATGCAGCAGCATTACCTGATGCAAATGCAGCAAATGCATTATGAAATAAAACTAATTGTTTATGCATAACTTTAGCTTTGTTTTCATCTAAAAATTTCATTTTTATAGCAACATCTTCTTTAAGACGTTCATATCTACAACGAACTTGATGTAATTTTTCAGAATTTAGATTTGTTGATGTTGGTGTAGTGGTAGTTGATGATTGTCCGACAATGTTTGATGATGAACACATCATAAGTCCATTCAAACAATTTCGTTCAGCATCATATTCTAAACGTGCTGCTTCAAATGCTCTGATTGTAACAATAGTATCTTCAATTGTTTTATAAACCAATGTTGTCAGATTGGAAATGAAAAATCCTAATGCCATTAGTAATTTATCACCATTTCTGGCTATACTTTTCATCATTTCAGCATTTTGTTTAAAATCTTGACTAAGATTATTGATCAATGTTCGATCACCACCGTTATCATTATTATTATTCATAATAGCCGTAGCTGATGGTGATTTTGTTTCACGTAAAGCCAATTCATTCAGATGTTCGTACATAGAATTTTGTGTTGCAATAATAGTTTGATATTGATTCGACATATCTTTCGACAGTTTCAATATATTTTCATATTTATGTTGAGTTTCACGTAATTTTTCAATTTCAATTTCTAGATCAGCATCCACAGTTCGTGAACATTTACCAAGTTTTTCATTTATTAATTGTTTAGTACATTTATATGTTGATAATGACCATTCTTTTAAGGCATCCATAGGTGTTGAACGATTTGGACCATATGATAAATCATTGGCTGTTATTATTGCCGATGATTGTATCATCATATCATTCGACGAACCGGATAATGGTGGTGTTAATGGTAATGTTGCTGGACGATGATGATGATGATGAAGATGAGGATTTTGTCGATGGACGGAAGCTATCGATTGTTGTTGTCCGATTGCTGATGATGAATTTGAATCATGTATGGCTATCTCTTGCATCGAATCAAATGATGTAATATTTACTGGTCCTAAACTTGAATGATGATAAGTTTCGGTTGTTGTTTCAGCACGGCTAAGATTATTATTACCACCACCAATATTACCCCCACTCCCACCACTACTTGATGACGTATTAGATGAAGACATTGTTTTTAAATTGCGATAAAAAAACAAGGGGACTAATTTTATTGCAACAAATTCAATTTTTGACAATTTGACAAGTTTTGACCAAAAAAAAATCACAAAAACACTGAGTCAGTCATATCAAACACTAAGTTAAAATAGCAACAACTATTTTGACTTTAAATGTCTTTTCAGCTGTGACAATGATTCGATAGTTTTTTTTTGGTGAATTTTGTTGTTTCGCTTAATTTTGATTTAATTTTTTGATCGATAATTTGTTGGCCAATTTGTACGACAACGACAATGGTAAATTTTTCAATTTGTTTTTTCAGCTTTGAATCTAATAATTGAAAATTGTTTTTTTTCACTCAGATTATTCGGCTACAATCACCGCAAGGTAACAAACGTATTGAATGTGATTCATACGATAGTACTTCGGAACTTTATTATAAATCACAAAAAGCTTACGATATTGATGATATTTTTGGATTTAAATTATTTAAAGATGCTCAATTTACACAACCAATATTGATGCATGAACGTAAATCACTTCAAGATTTTAATCTTAAACATGGTGATCTAATTCATTTGAAAATTACTGTCAATAATTCATTATCGAATGGTAATGATTCAACAACATTAAGTAAATTATTTAATGTATCAAATTCAAAAGAAATTGATTCAGTCGATACGATTCTAATGAAACGTGATGGTTTAATTGAACGAAAGATGGATGCTAATCTATGTCAACATGGACCAAAAGCTAAATGTGTTCATTGTGCACCAATTGAACCATATGATGAATCATATATGAAAGAACATAATATTAAACATATGTCATTTCATTCATATCTACGTAAATTGAAACGTGGTGCCGATAAAGGTAAATTTATTTCACTTGAAGATATTAGTTGTAAAATAAAACCCGGTTGCAAAGGACATCCAGCATGGCCTGAAGGAATTTGTACTAAATGTCAACCAAGTGCTATAACATTAAATAGTCAAACATATCGTCATATCGATAATGTTACATTTGAAAATACATCGATTGTTGAAAATTTTCTGGATTATTGGCGTACAACCGGTAATCAACGAATGGGTTTTTTGTATGGTTATTATGAACCATATAAAGATGTTCCGCTTGGTATTAAAGCTGTTGTGGTGGCTATTTATGAACCACCACAAGAAAGTACACGTGATTTAATAAAAATTTATATGGAAAGATTAGATTTCGGTGATGTTGATATGATAGCTGGACAATTAGGTTATAAACGTATTGGCTGGATATTCACCGATCTTATACCGCAAGAAAAAGGAACTGTAAAATATATTCGTAGTTCGGATTCATATTTTCTTACAGCCCAAGAATGTATTATGGCTGGATTTTTTCAAAATTGTCATCCAAATCCATGTAAATTATCAAAAAGTGGTTATTTTGGTTCGAAATTTGTTACCGTTTGTGTTACGGGTGATCGTAATAATCAAATTCATATTGAATCTTATCAAGTATCAAATCAATGTATGGCATTAGTACGTGATGATTGCCTTTTACCAACCAATGTACCAATGTTAGCTTATGTTCGTGAATCAAATAAAGATCGTTATGTACCGGATGTTTTTTACAAATGTAAAGATGAATATGGTAATGAAGTAACAAAAATTGCACGTCCATTGCCAATTGAATATCTATTGATTGATGTACCAGTATCGGCACCAATTGAACAAACCTATACATTTAATCCAATTCAAACATTACGTCCTTTTCCGATTGAAAATCGTATGATTGAAGGACATTTACAAGATTTTCAAGCATTATATCATTATATGAAACAATTTAAATTTCCTGAACAATTTTTACAAGCAATGTTAGATTTTCATTTATTAATTTATCTGGCATCAATGGATACAGTACCATTACGTAATGTAATGATTGATTTATTACAGGCATTAAAATCAAAAGATCAATCAAAAGCAATTGAATGGTCAAAACAAGATAATTGGTCAACTGTTGAACAATTATTTAAAGCACTTTCAGATGGTTAAAAGAAAAAATAAAAAAAAAATTTGATTTAATTAATTAATTTCAAAGCCAAGTCAATTAAGAATTTGGTGTAAATAAAATTTGAATTTACAAAAAAAAAAAATTTATATGGATGATGTCATTACTTTTATTTTCAAAAATAATAATTTTTATTTTTTATTTTTGCAAAATTTACAAAACGATGGGCGAAGATTTGTAATAAATAAAATATTCATAAAGTAATAAAGTTTTTTTTTGTTGTTGCATATCGGATGAAACAACTTGATGATTTTTAAGATATGGTCTGTTGTTTGCTCAAGTTTGTCTTCATTTGATTCAACTTATCTTTCCGCAGCTGTCCGGTTAAATTTTTGAATTGTTGTTCGTGTTTGGCATCATGCTTTTTTAATATTATATTCTTTTAGAATGGATATAATTTCCGAACACAAAAGGTGACACACACTGCTTTGTCTTTTGACGCAAGTGAAAAAGCATTTCGATGTTTTTCGCTTTCACACACGCCAGTTTAGTTTACGATCGATATATATAACTAGATATTTGCATTCATCGACAAAGTCCAGTTGGTCACTGTTCATTATTAAGGAACAAGTGTATCTTCTTTTTTGGTGTTCATCTACGATCTTTTCGTTTATAATTCAGACATTCTATCATAAAATAAATAAATTTGAAAGTCAAAAGAAAAAAAAATTAGCAAAACTTTGAATTCTTTTCTTTTTACGAGATTAATACCTGGAACTGCTGTGTTCCATTTTGTGAAATGATGATATCTTTTCAATTATGAATTTTTGCTCGATAACAAAAAAAAAAATTTTTCATTTATATATTGCCAATAAATGCGCATGTCAATTTCGAAAAATAAAAAAATGTTTTTATCATCGATTTTGATCTTGATAATTGTCAACGATGATTATCAGCAACGGAATAGGAAATTCTCTATGTTCATCATCATCATCATCATTTTTTTTACCCTGATAACATTTTATCAGCACCCGCGATAAACGAATGATAAGAATTTCTTTCTGTTTTTCGAAACAAAATAAAAAACATATATACGTACATCATATATATGTAACCGGTTTCACTATGATTGGTAATGATAGATTTATCGAATATACAATTGATACAATTAAAAGTTATTACATCGTATGGCCAAATCGGCCAATTATTATTCAAGTATATTTTTATTTTTATTAATTGATTGTGATTTTTTAATCATAAATAAAATTTCTTTTTAAAATGTTTTAATTAATTTTTTTTTGCTGAATAATTATTTTATAAAAGCTTTAAAAACGACGAATTTTTGGCAAACAACGAATAACGATCTTTGCTAGATTTTTTTTTCTTTTCTTGAACATTTTATCTATCCAACACAATCAATGGAGAAAATGAATACTGAAATGGATCAGAATAATATGGTAATATATGTACATCATATTTATGTAAACGGTTTCATTATGATTGCTCCACCAAAAAATTGATTTATAAACTATACGACCGCTCCACCGAAAAAGAATCTTTTAAAAAACAATGGATGTGAATTCAATATTGCCAATTTTGATGTAATTTGTCAACGTTTAAGATCTTTCAATGTATCAAACAAAGATTTATTTTATTTATGTTTCAAATATCATAATGAATGGCAATGATTGAATTAGAAATTAAAACATCAGAAATTCAATATATAGTATGGCCAGGTCGGCCAATTATAATTCAAGTTAATTTTACATTTACAGTTAAATTTTTTTAAACCCTACCAAAATAAAGCAAATCACTCGAATCCAAAGCATAATTCAACAAAAAACAATGGAAAATTTAGTCATTTATCAACATTACATCTATCCTACACAAGTAATTATAAATGGAGAAGATATTATTTATCGTTATAGAATTATAACGAAAAAAGATTATTATATTTTTTGGCCAAATCGGCCAACTATTTTTCAAGTTTATTTTACATTCATAAATTAAATGTATTTTTATCATTTTTTCCTAATTTTTATTTTCATATATTTTCATTTTCTCATTAATAAAATTTTTCAAATGTTTTAATTTTGTTTTTTCGTTGTAAATATTTTATCGACGTTTTAAAACGACACATCATCATAGTGGTGTTAACTTTTTTTAGTTAACATGATAGTATATGAACATTTCATATATGTTTCAAATGTTATAATTAATGGCAATGATGCCATATTAACAATTAAAACTTCCGAAATTTATTATATTGTATGGCCAGGTCGGCCAATTATAATTCAAGTTAATTTCACATTTACATTTAAATTTTTTTTTCAATCCTATCAAAATAAAGCAAATCAATCGAATCAAAAGCAAATATCAAAAAAATATGAATATTATTATAAAAAAATTTTTCTTTGAATTTTCTATTTATTGTAAAAAATATTCTCAGTGTCATTTGATAAATTTCTACTGTTAATAACGATCGCTTTCACCGGCTAAATTTAATCTTATGTTTCACTGACTGAAGATATTAGAATTCGTTTTTCTGGCATGGCCCGCTCAGAATTATTTAACAGCAATGAAAATATTATTCTTTTTATGGATGCAGTAGCGCAGATCCTTTAAAAATTTTACTTTTTCATATATTTTCCTCCCATAAATAGTTTTAACAAACAAAAAAAAGTTTTAACGTTGTTGTTAACGAATTCTAATGACAATTGAATCCTCATCTCTTGATGTTTATGCTCCTGTTGTCCACATGGATANTGACTGATTACTCTTACGATCGCTTTCATTTGCTAAATTGGATTTTTTTTTTTAAACAATGGATGCCTTATTTAATGTGGTTATATTGGAACATTTCATTTATGTTACAAATGTTATAATCAATGGCAATGAAGCCATTTTGGAATTGGATATAAAAACATCGAAAATTCAATATATAATATGGCCAGGTCGGCCATTTATAATTCAAATGAATTATTCAGTTATGGATTAAAAAAAATTTCATTTTAAAAAATTTCATTTTATTATCTTAATTAAAATTTCTTTTCAATATGTTTTAATTTTTTTTTTGTTGTACAAATATTTTATAAACGCTTTAAAAACGACGATAACGATCTTTGCTGGATTTTTTTT